ATTCCCTTCTCCAGCCTCAGTCTTTTCCAGCATCAGGGTCTTTTCTAATGAGTCAGTTCTTCACGTCTTCATTTGCTGTTTTATCTGCATTGAAAATGTTTGGTGCAATCATTGCTGTTAATTATCTTAGCTAGATCTTCTGGACAACTTGCTACAGCTTCTTCATTAGCACTTGGTATTTCACCTCGTACTTCTGTGTCACGGAGGTGGTTTCTTTTTGTTAAACCTCATGAACCAATCTCCGCTAGCCTCAGATTTTTCTTCGGCAGCTTCCTCACCTCTCTCAGCCTTCCTGGAATTAAAGAGCTAGGGCCTTGCTCTGGATTAGGTTTTGGCTTAAGGGACTGTTGAGGCTGGTTTGATCTTCTTTCCAGATCACTAAAACTGTTTTCCACATCAACAGTAAGGCTGCTTTGCTGTCATCATTTATGTGTTCGTTGGTGTAGCAATGTTACGTTCCCTCAAATATTTTTCCTTTGCACTCACAACTTAATCTGTTTGGTGCAAGAGGCCAGCTTTCAGCCCAATCTTAGCTTTTGACAGATCTTGCTCACTAAGCTTCATCATTTCTGGCTCTTGCTTTAAAGGGAGAGATGTGTGACTCTTTCACCTGAACATTTAGAGGCCATCATAGGGTTATTAATTGGCCCAATTTCAGTATTGTTTTGTCTCAAGGAATGGGGAGGCCTGAGGAGAGGCAGAGGGATGGGGGATGGCCAGTTAGTGGAGCAGTCAGACCACATGTATTTATAGATTAAGTTCACCATCTTAGATGGGCATAGTTCATAGTTTCCCAAGACAATTATAATAGTAACATCAAAGATCACTGATCATAGATCACCATTTTGTTGTTTAGTCGCTAAGTCATGTGCAACTCTTTCCTCCCCCATGGACTACAGCACACCAGGCTCCTCTGTCCATCACATCTCCCGGAGTTTGCTCAAATTCATGTCCACTGAGTCAGCAATGCCATCCAACCATCTCATCCTCTGCCACCCCTTCTCCTCCTGCCTTCAGTTTTTCCCAGCATCAGGGTCTTTTCCAATGAGTCGGCTCTTTGCATCAGGTGCCCAAAGTTTGGAGCTTCAGCTTCAGCATCAGTCCTTCTAATGGATACTCAGGATTGATTTCCTTTTGGGTTGACTTGTTTGGTCTCCACGCTGTCCACAGGACTCTCAAGAGTCTTCTCCAGCACCACAATTCAAAAGCATCAATTCTTTGGTGATCAGCCTTCTTTATGGTCCAACTCTCACATCCATATATGACTGCTGGAAGAACCATAGCTTTGACTGTACGGGCCTTTGTTGGCAAAGAGATGTCTTTGCTTTTTAATACACTGTTTGTCATAGCTTTCCTTCCAAGGAGCAAGCATCTTTTAAATTTCATGGCTGCTGTCACCATTGTCTGCAGTGATTTTGGAACCCAAGAAAATAAAATGTTACTACTTCTTCTTTTTCCCCTTCTATTTGCCATAGCAGATATAATAATGAAAAAGTTTGAAATATTGGGAGAATTACCAAAATGTGACACAGAAATGAAATGAGCAAATATCATTGGAAAAATGACATTGGTAGACTTGCTTGATGTAGGGATTACACAAATCTTGTTTGTTACAAAAAAAGTATCTGCAAAGTACAATAGTGAAGCACAATAAAACAAGGTATGTCCGTACTTTCTTAACAATATTTGGTCTTGATCCGTGAACAAGGATGTCCTTTTATTTCTTTCAGTGATATTATGTAGTTTTCAGTGTACAAATTGTGTACTTCTTTTGTTAAATTTATTCTTAGACATTTTGTCCTTTTTGATTCTGGCCTGTGTGCTCCGCTTCTTGAACAGCGTGACTATGTCATGAACTTAACACTTCGGGAAACTGTCTAGAGATCAGGTTCTCTGGTTGGAGAAGCAGCTTGGAACTTACCTTTATTATTCCTTAATTTTTTCCCCCTTTCAGTTTTCAGTCTGTGTTTTGAATTTGTTTGGAATACAGCCCTGTGTCGTCAGTTATCACAGGGGCTTCTCTGCAGTGAGAGAAAGGATGCCAGGGGGAGGAAGGGCTGGAATCCGGCACGCCTTTGGCTCGCTCTGGCTGTGTGACCTTGCATACACACCCAAGATGCATTCTTCTCATTTGTCAGCTTTTGGAGCTGGTTTTGAGGATTCAGTGAGCTAGTAAATGAAAAAGCACCTGAATACTGCTGCACCCATCGGGCTCATTTCCTAGATTGATGTCTGAGAAACAGCCCAATTGGAAACTTGGGGCTCCTTTTAGACCTTTTCATTCTGATAATTTTCAAATACACAGAAACACTGGAATCACCTTCTTGTATTCTTGGCTGTATATTAATTCATATCTTTCCCCTCCCTAGCACTGCCTCTGGCCTGGGCAAGGACAGCTTGTGTCCTCCTCCCCATTTAATTATTTCTGTCCCCACTTCCTCCTTGCAACATTGCGACGAAAATGTTAACACTTCAATCCAGCTGTATTTGGCCAAAGAGGCTAGGGTTATCTACCCTGGGAATTGACTGCTTGGAAGTGGATGGAATTCTAAGTATCTTCCCTGTTGGGTGCTCAGATCTACCCTGGGTCTCTAGTTGTTGGGACCACACTGGGGACCTTTCTGTAACAGGCACTCACTTCTTCTCTCTGGTCTATCATGTGGACCTGAAGCTGTTTTTTTCCCAGTAGGAACTGACTCTTCTCTTCAGGGGTGGAGACCCTCCTCACCTCTCTCCTCTGGATCCCATCCATCTCTCCCACAAAGTTGTGGACAGTCCCCACAAAGGACAGTTTAAGTGCTGTCCTCCCTAGAAACTTCCCAATAGCCAGAAGCTTTTATCCCTACTTCTTCTGTTCCCTGCTTAGACCACTTAAGACTTTCCACTTTTATCTTGTTTAAGCATCGTTTTGTCTTTTCTTCTAGATCACTAGCTGGCTAGCCTGAGGGCAAGGCTACATCCCCATCTGTCCAGCCTGGCACAGAACGTAGGTGCTGTGTGTATGTCTGCTGGACCACTGACCTGAGGCAGGTGGACACTGGGTAACATTTTCTGGAGTGGGCGCCGAGTGTGCTGGTCCACCTCACATGGACATACTGGTTATTTTTGCTGACACCAAGTAAACTAGTGGAAAGGCCAAACAGGAGCTTGAATTAAGGTATTTGAAGAGGGTCTTCTTTCCTTAGCCCTTAGGAGATGATCCAGTCAGTGTAAATTAAAGCTGTGTTAAGAGTAACAAGGAAGACCTGCCAAATGCTGCCAGAGCAGCTCACTCCAGGGTCCTTCTGACTTTTCAGACTTGTCCACAGCAGATGTAATAGTCCATAGAGGAAGGGCCAGTTCCCTTCCTGTTCTTCAACACCCAGCTCAGTACTAGACTCTGTGCTGGCCTCTCTCGGCCTTCCCATTGTGGGTTTTATTTCCAGAGTGTCTTTTCTTACAGCCTCGTCCCCCCCAGGGTTTCTTGGCTGGCGGTCAACAAAATAAAGCATCACAGAGAACAGGGCTGTATTGCTGCCCCAGCTTCCAGTGCAGCTACTTGTGACTTCGGCAGGTATGACCCCTCAGGTGGTCATTCTTACTCCTGTAAGATGAGGGTGACTGAATGAAGACCAAGCAGTCATACACTGGGGACCACAGAGAAGGAGCTGTATCAAGCTGATAAAGGCTAGTGTCAATTCAAATTGGTAAAATTAACGTTTAGCTGCTACTTCTCTTTTTCCCTGACAAGTCTTTTTCCAAAATTTATGGATTTATCGAAATCTATTTTTAAAAAATCTATCTTTTCACAAAATCACTTCATGTAATAGTTAGGGAGGGCTGTTAAGCTAGTGCTTATACGTTCTGCCCAAAATCCTAGGCGTCAGGCATTTAAACCGATGCAACCACAAGAAGTGAAACAAAATCAGGTGTCTGTCTCACACGGTTTATTTAACAATAGGTAATAAGAAATCAAATTTAACAGTCTATACAGTGATCCAAAGTTCATATTTATAAGTAATCAATTTTAATCGCATGATTTACAAGTTGAGGGTTTTTGCTTTCTATTTTCAAGTTTTACAGAAAGTGTGTGTGTGTGGGGTGGGGGCAGGGTAAGGAGGAAGAAAGCAAGCACAGAAGAAACCCCAGGGACATTTTGCATGTTAAAATCATCCCACTGGAATCGTTTCTTACCCTCTTTTTAATTTTTTCCTTTGTTAGATGTAAAAATAACGAAAAAAATTCTTTCAAGAAACAGAACCACAATATATATAATACATCAATTTGGCAGCTGCCCCTGTATATTTTGAAAAAGTCATTTTTCTCTCTACATGTACAAATTACTTTAATACTTGAAGTTTTTACGATCAGACTTACGGAATAGAAAATTTTCTGGAGCACAAAAGTTGACTTGAGGGGAGCAAAGGGGTTTTTTTTTTTTTTTTTAAACATTTTTAAAAGAATGAACGTCTTTGCACCCAGAGAAAAAAAATTGGTATTTTAATATATATTTATATATATTTATATATATATAGAATGTAATTTTAAAGTAACATTAACCCCTTTTGTCCTCTGGTTTTAGAAATGTTCTTTAACTCTTTCATAAAGTGAGGAAAATAGGGAAAAATGTCAACCATCTGCACCAGTAAATAATAACTATTAATATTACATATTTTCATTAATTTAAAAAAAATAATAAAACCTATTGGAGGTGCAAGGCAGGAGCGTGTGGTTGGCGTCACAGACCTCAGCCTCCTCCCAGTGCACACTTGAACCAAACACACAAGGGAAAAAACAGGCTGGCAGTAACCAGCCATAACAAAATATATTCTTTGTGTTCTATCACCCCTCAGGTTCATCTCGCATGTTTGCTCGAAACCACAAACAGCTACTGCACAGTTCTTATGTGTTCCAAGGAAAATTGTCTCTTAGGCTAAGAAAGATTCAAAAAAATTGTTTGCAGTACAAAAAGTCTTAAGAGAAAATAATTTTTTTTGCTCCCAAAATACTACAAGGTGTCTCTAGTGTATGTCTAGTGTACTCTGTGAGAGGTTTGAATTCAAGTCTGAGTTGTCGGTGCCGAGTCCCAGGTCCGTGGCGCTCGCACCATGGAGGTTTGCCATGCCTGGATTGCTAGTGAGCTGAGAGAGCATCGAATTCTGGTCCGGGCTGGCAAAATGCCCTTGTTCCATGGGGTTGCCCTGGGCAGCGACCAGTCCAGGATGTGGAGAACTGGTCTGTGGGGAGACGTGGTGTGGAGAAGGCTGAGGCTGCATCCGTGGGGAAGGGCTGGAGTGGGGGGGCTGGGACTGTGGCCGCGGAGAAGGGACAGGCTGGGGAGATCGCACTTGATTGGAGAGAGACGGGATCTGCTGGCCTTGGAGGTGCGGGGACTGAGCCTGACTCGGGAGCATGTGCTGCTGGGGGCTCATGGGGTTGGGCTGGGCCGGGGAGCCCATCTGTTGCTGAAGGAGCCGCTGCTGGTAGGCCTGCAGACTGGCTCCCGCCTCTGCTCCCAGGGCCTGCGGGAGCTGGCCCATCTGTCCCATGTTCCCTTGCGGTATCTGCTGCATGTGATGCTGCATTCGCGGTGGCGGCTGCTGCTGCGGGGCAGGGTAGCCCACACCCTGGGGGGGCTGGAACTGGTTGTGGTTGGCCAGCCCCGGGCCCATCCCTGGCCCCGCTCCCTGCTGCTGCTGCTGCATCATCTGCTGTCTCCTCAAGATGTCTCGGAATTGCGAGGGCATGGTGCTGTGATTCATGTTCATCTGCTGAGCCTGCGGGCTCATCCCGCCCATGGGCGGTGGGAGCTGCTGCTGCTGTGTGGGCTGCTGGGGCAGGCCGGCCCTTGGGACGCCTGCCTGCATGGGGTTCAAGTTCTGCATGGCGGGGCTGGAGTGGACCCCCTGCTGCGCCGGCATGGCGGGGGGCTGCAGGCCTGGCTGCCCGGGGAGGGGCTGCGGGTTGGAGCTGGCGTACTTGGCCGCCCGCTGCTTGATGAACGCGGCCAACAGCTGGGGGTTGGCATGAAGGATACTGAGCACCTGTTGCTGCTGCAGGGGAGAGCTGGGAGACCTGAGAGTCCGCAGGAGGTTCTGTAAGGCTTGTTGAGACACAGTGCCTGGCTTGAGAGGGCTCACACCTACCTGGCCCAGGCCCGGCTGGGGAGGTATGTTCAGGGGCTGCCCATGCTGTGACACTGACATCATGGCTGGCCGGGGCATCCCCGACTGCAGCTGCTGGGGCTGGGGCAGTCCTCCCTGGGCCCACGGGGGTTGCTGCTGCATGCCAGTGGGCCCCATCCCTGGCTCCAAATGCCCACCAGGCCCTCTGGCCATGGGGGGCGGGTTCATACCCATGGGGGCCATGGGAGTCATCTGCGGCATCTGGTGCTGGATTGGCCGCTGAAAGATTTGCACGTGGGCCATCTGGCGTTGCGTCTCGGCTGCCCTCTGAATCTGCATGGCCATTTCCACTGCTGCAGGTGGGGGTCCCGGAAGCGGGGGCTGAGCAGTCTGAGGCGGGGTTGGGGGGGTCACCTGGCCTGCTGCCTTGCCCTGGGACACCGGGCCAGCAGCTTGAGTCCTGGGCAAGTAGGGCGGCATGTTGTTGGGAGGCGTGGGCTGGGGCTGAGAGGGGGGCGGGGGCTGGGGCGTCTGTGGGGTGGTGGGCTGCTGGCCTGTCGGCGTGGTCGGGGTGGCAGGGGTCGGGGAGGGCAGGCCCTGCTGCTGCCCCACCACGCCAGTCCGTTGCATGCTGGCCATCCTCCGGCGCAGCATCTGGGCCTGCTGGAGCCGGTGCTGCAGCTGCTGCTGCCGGAGCTTCTGCTTGATGTTGAGGCAGAAGGGCACGGGGCACTTGTTCTCCTGGCAGTGCTTAGCGTGGTAGCAACACAGGGCGATGAGCTGTTTGCAGATGGGGCAACCACCGTTGGTCTTGCGCTTGCAGCCCTTGGTGTGCTGCACCACCCGCTTCATCTTCTGGCAGGACGGCAGCGAGCAGTTGGCGTTGCGGCACTGGCAGGCGTGCACCAGCGACTGGATGCAGCGCTGGATGCTCAGGCGGCGGGAGTCTCCCGGGCTCTGCGTGGCGGCAGCCTGCTGGTTGTTGCTCTCATCGTCGAGCCCCAGCCCGAGCTTCTCCATCTTGTGGTCGTGGTTTTTAGTGTTGTAGCAGGTGATACACAAGTCATAATCCTGGGGAAAACACAGGTGCAGGTCAACACAGGTGCAGGATTCAAGCCATTCAAAGGCATTTATATATCCTGCTTGGGCTAAAAAGCCCCATTTTAGAGAAAGCTGCTTTAGCCCAACCACTCAAATCTGAGACCAGGCCCCACTTGGCCTGTTCTGGTCCTCACACTGGCCCTGGAGCCTGCCCCCAGGCCAGCACCACCTCTGAACCGCCTCTCACGTACCTGGAAGCCCCTAGCCCTCCCCGCCAAGGGACCTACCTCACACACGGTGCAATGCCAGCGTGTCTCCACGTGGTGCTTGCACTCGTTGCAGGTGTAGACAAAGCGGTCCTGGCTCTGGGTGTGCAGCTCCACCAGCATGCACATGGTGGACCACTGGGCTCTTCGCAATGACGAGAACTCCAGATGCTTGTCTCTTGCAAGGGTGAGAAAGGCATCCCGCCCGTCCATCAGGTCACAGGGGATGAGGGGGTCAGGGTCAACAATGGGAGGCAGGGAGTTGGCAGCAGGGCCAGCGATGAGACGGATCACAAAGAAGACCTGCAAAACAGACAAGTCTCCTCTGGACTCTGGAACTAGAGTACCACAGACAGCTGGGCCAGGCTGCGCACCTGGGGGGCTGGGATGCCTGGCTTCCTTCTGTGACCACCCTGCAAGGTTACACAATACAGCCCTCGTTCTCCTGCTTCATGCATTTCTGTTCTCTTTTTTGAAACTGACTACAATGGCCTAAAACATCTACATCTTATGTTTCCTACCTCATTCAGTAATTCTTCAAAAGAAGAATGGTCAGATACAGCGCCATACAGGGGACATTCTGCTTCAAAGAGGTCAACTTTTAAGATGCAATCCATGGTTTAACCTGACTCTAATCATAAGGAAACAAATCAGAAAAACCTAAACGGATAGATATTCTACAAAGCAATTGGCCTCGCGTCTTCACAAAATGCCCATGTCATGAAAGAAAATAAGGCCAGGAACTGAGACAGGGCAACTCAACATGGAGCAGAGGTGGCAGCAGGGGTGAAGTGTCCTGAGTGTGAAGTCACAGCACACTTACGCAGAGTGTGTCCTCTGTCTTAGGAGGAGCTTACTGAAATAAAATGTGGCAGAACGTTAACTGGTGAATCTAGGTGAAGGCACCAGGAGGGCATCTTCTGTAGAACTTTCCTCTAAGTTTGGAAGGAAAAAAAATTGGTAGGGGTGGGAAGAATAATAAAGCAAAACCTCCCTTTTCCTTGCTACAGAAACAGAAAAATTTTTTGTTGAAGTTTAAAGACACACCACAACCACTGATTCCCATAACCACTGGTATAAAGGCTCCAAGAGGAAGCTGCTGTTATTTCTGTAATAATAAAATGTAAAATGGAACCTTCAAGAGATCAAGAATTTGTAACTGGGGAAAAAAAAAAAACTTTTAACTGCTGTATTGCCCACTATATATATTCTGTCAGTATTTTTGAGGCTGAAAATCTGCGCAAACTGGCAGTATATGTTACATATCTGGGCAGCAATGTTGGCATAGAACAAAAGTCAGGAAAAAGAACATAGTGACTTTCCCTCGTGGCCCAGTGGTTAACACTGCACTTCTGCTGCAGGGGCATGGGTTCGGCCCCGGGGTGGGGGTGGGGGACAGGACACAGGACTAAGATTGTGCATGCCACAAAACATAGGACAAGGAGCATTCGCCCCGGGGTGGGGGTGGGGGATAGGACACAGGACTAAGATTGTGCATGCCACAAAACAACATAGGACAAGGAGCATTCACCCTGAGTAAAGATGTATGAAAGCCAGAGTTAAAAGCTCAAAGGAGGACTGTGCATTTGACCTTGCGACCTGGTGACTCCTTAGGAAATCTTCACTATGGCCAACCTCCAATAACACCCATTGTGACTGATTCTGCTGTATGTCACCCTAGAGCTAAAACAATAGCTAAATTTAATAAACTGATCACATTAGATTCTAACTAACAGGAGACTACTACCCACATATTCTTCAGATGATCTATCTACAACTGAAGTCACACCTATTACAACATACTCTAGGGGCCTTTCCCAATCGCTGTTAAGACAGAGTTCCACACCTAAAATCAAGCCATCAGTTCCCTCTCCACATTAATAGCCTCTTCCTGTAAGAACCTGATGTCTGAACATGGAGGTAAACAGATTTTAAACAAACCAACATGACCCTTCAAGATGCCTAATCTTACCAACAATAATGTCGAAGCGGAAAAAAAGCCAACACACTCATATTCCCAAACAATAAATAAACAATATAAATAATTAAATAATTCAAAGTTTTAACTTTGCTGTGAAGGCATTCACAAGTGCATATATGAAAGTTTAACTCTTTTCTTCAATTCTCTCCATTTGCCAATTCCCTTTCAGTAAGGCAAAACATTCATTCGTTTTGCCAAAGCTCCATTAGAAACCTGAATGGCCAAATGGAGTTCTAAGGGGCTTTGGTGTAAAGCAAAACCACAAAGATACCCAAAAGATATCCAACAAGCCAATCTTCTGAACAATGGACAGAAACACAAACATAAAACGGTTACAAACAATAGGGTCAGACAAACTATGCTCACACTTTCCCCAACACCATCTAGCTTTGTGACAGCTACAAATCTAAGTAAGACACCTTACCATTTCCTGTTCTCACCACCCTCTCTTTGCTTTCTTCTCCCTCAAATGATTTTCTTCCTTCTGAGTTTCAAATGATCTGGTGTTCACATCATAAATACCAACCATGGTGGGGAGTTCTGGAGGACCCTGGCCTTGGTTTTTCCACTCTGGGGGCTGTTCTCTTATCTTACCTCTTTGTGCTTCTCCATGGTGGCATACAATTTCTGTGAGAGGTCGTTGGATACGTTAGGCATGCCTGGCTTCTTCTTATTGCCCCGACTCAGGCTGCTCTTGTTTTTGCTAGTTTTCTTGTTGTTCTTCTTTTTAGCATTTTTGCTGTCTCCCTTTGTCACCTGCAGGTTAGCATAACAGAACAAGAAAATGTTAATAACTCTTTAAGAGACTGTTTAGAAGTTTAGAACAGTTATTTGTTAATAACTGTTAAGAACAAGTTTCTAATGGAGCAACAGATCGTAACCTAACAGCTGCTCTCTCTTCATTGCTCCTCTTTCTAAAGCTGTTGTTTACAGTAAACTAAGGTTTACTAATGTTTTTGCATTAATTTTCTCCCAGTGAAAAATCGCTGCTGATGTCTCTTTATTAGATACCAACAGCCTTAGCTCTTTGGCCAGCGAAAGCTGCAGACCAGAAGCCACCTTAGGTGGAACCAGGCCATACCAAGTCTGAGGATGGGAGAGGAGCGAGCAGCAGGTAGTGAAGTGTCCATGGGAGTAGGGAGCCAAAGGCCCTGGCTCCGTTTCCTTTGACTCACTTTCTAAAATTTTATGGACCTACTATTAAAAAAAACCTTTAAAAACATACAATCGAGGAGTCTTAACTGCAGGCTGTAAAGAGTTCTTAGACTAAGGGTGATTTCAGTAGTTCAGACTCAGCAAGGGCAATTGAGATATACTACGGGGAAATAAATGACAAGGAAAAACTCCTCAGATGACCTGCTATTAGGCAGCTTCTGTTGGGGGGACTGGTGAACTCTGGCCCAGATCTGTTTTTTGTACAGCTAAGAAGGATGGTTTTTACATTTAAACAGTTGTTTAAAGAAGAAGAGAAAAAAGAATGTGCTGGAGACAATATATGGTCTGCAAGGCCTGAAACATTCATAATTCAGACTGTTGCACAGTTTATCAACCTTGTGTTCTAGACCGGTAATGTTCTGTTCTCCAGGGTTTCCATTACTAGAAATCCAAGGTTCCACTTAAAAATGAGGTCTGGTGCTAAAAGGGCTTAAAATCTCTAAACTAGAACCATAGTTAACTTATCTACACCAAAATTCCCCGCCTGCCCAGTTTAGAGAGCTGAGAGCCCCAGGGCCCGCTGGAAGCCTCAGCTGAGGTCTGGGTCACTCGGGCAGAGGCGGGACAGGGAGACGCGGAGCCCTCACATCTGTGCTCTCGTTGCTCGTGTTCTCCTCCCGCTTCCGCTCCTCCTCTTCCTGCTCTAGTTCCTTAATGCTCTCTTCCAGGACGTTGGGCCAGAAATCACCCTCAAAGTAAGGCAATTCCTTCGCGCTTGTCAATCGATCTTCAGTAGCTTGTTTTAAAATATCCTGTGAAAATATCCAAGAACAAATAGCAATGTCTATTTTTTGGGAAAAAACAAAAGCGTTTATCATACAGCAGCAGAGTCACAGCTAAAGGACGCAAGAAACATGAAGAACCAGATGTGTCTTCTGGAAGACGGCAGGGATTTTATGCCCAAGCCTGGTGCCTGGGGAGACAGTGTCGCCAACAGGGAAAAGGTCTGGTCTGAAGTCAGCATTTCTGACTTCCTCCTTCCTCTACCGGTGAGGACAGGCAGATTATCTGCCTTTATGTCACCAAGTGACAAATGCCTCTGTCGGGAACAAACGCAGAGGCAGCAGCATTCACACCTGTGCCTCCAGCACTCCTGAGACAGAATGCAGTGGTGATGGGAGGCACACTGGCCTTGCAAAAATCCTAGAAATATTGGTCATTTCTACTGAGAGATATGTTCAGAAAAATCCCAGTTACAGATACTAGAAACCATATAGCTAAGAATGATTTTCTGGGCTGCTTATTAGGACAATACCAGTTCATGTTTCCCTCCCCATAAGTAAAAACAGGTAAGAAATTTAACAGCTCAAGTTTCTTATTATGAGATACCCTACAGTCACAAATCATTATCAAATATTTTGCTGAGTCCATTTCATCTAATAGTAATTCAGGGGAAAAAACCCTATCAAATTAGCTTTATTTTACAAATTACATGGAACAGTGAGAAGAAACACAAGATTTTTGTTAAGGTAGTAAAACAAGTGGAATACAGAGCAGCAGGACTAGTCAAGCCACGGTGCTGTCAGCCCCCGTCCTGACCTTGTAATCATGGACGATTCGCTCGGACACAGCTTTGTCAAGCATCTTTTTGTACCACTCCTGCAGTCGCTTGGGCTTGGGTATCTTCTGGTCAGGGGGGTGGCAATGGAAGATGTAGTCGTCTCCTTCACTTGGTGGACACGCCCAAATATGCCCTGTTGTGTATCTAACAACACAGACAGAAGGAACGCTGAAGAGAAAGATCATCCATTCTAGAAAGAATACTCCACTTTAAACCACAAAGAGGAATCAGTACAGAAACCAACGATTCCTCAAGATAACACGAAGTTTGTGATCTATGCCCAAACTAGGCATAACCCTGGATCAAAAAAATCTCCAATTTGCATTTAAAGACCAAACAAAAGCTACAATGCAAGGGAAAATCAATCCATGTCAACTAGAGAGTTAAATGAAATGCAAACTATCAAGAGGAATAACCGGCAAGGTGAGGTGCTAAATGTTCTCAAGCACATATATACCTTGAAGGTAAGGAACCAGTATGAAGGAGTTTTGTATCTCCAGAACTTAGTGTGATTTTGGTTTTGATACTCAGATGTGTGAAAGGACCAAGTGCAGTTTAAAGTTCTGGCTCTTCAAATCAAACTGTATCAAATGGCTTAACTGAACAAAATAAAGTAATCTGGGATGGGTGCAACCAGCGTCACAATACTCATTTCTTTCCCATGGCAAAGCCAAAAATTTCAAAGGGTCTCCAAGTTATAGTTCTGCCAGATGAAAGCCAAAGTGGAGGAAAAAAAACCAAAAAGTCACATATTTGCACGTACTATATCTCACCAAAATACCACAGTGGTGATCAGTTTAAAACTAATCAGCTTAAACAAGTTGTCTTTAAAACCAGCATTTGGTTTTATGCTTACCCTAATTTCTTGACATATTCCAAATATCCAATTAGGATTTCATGATAGACTGCAGTCCTCAAGCATTTAGGACGGAAGAAGTGAACACTATCGAGGTATGATATGTATACTCTCCTGTATCAAATGGGGAGAAAGAAGCCAGGTCAAGTTGCATAATGAGTTTCTAATGATGTGGCTAAAGACATCTCTCTTTTCTGTGCCCTTTGCTTACCTTGTCATTTTTAATGCTTATCACACAACATTACAGTTATTTAGATAAATGACTAGATCATGAGCCCATGAGGGGAGTTTTGTGGGTCTGTGGCTCTATTACCATTTCAGCACCTACGGGGGCCTCAGACACAGCATAATCAGTCACTATTGAGTGATCCAAATACATTCTGCAGCACTCTTATTCTGGCTTTTATACTATGTGGAAAATTCTACACCATATTCTACTTCATTTGTGTGACATTCTTTCACATCTATCTCAAGAATGTACTCGACACAACCTCGATTTAAGTGCATTTTCTGAAAAGTCATATTTTAGGCTGCCATTCATATGCCTTTCCCTGTTATTATGAACAAGAAACAGCAGTATTTTCTAATTTTTTTTGGGTTTCACTTCCATACTACACTTTTGAGAACTTGCATTTCCAAAAGAAGATCAAACATTTTCTTATTCACTATGCTTGTTCACCTTACTGTAATTTCAAACTTCCATACAAATTAGAAAGTAGCCACAGTAAAGTCCTACCTCTGGTTGGGTGGAGGGCAGTCAGAGCCATACTCTTGAACGTGCATACCAAAGAAGCACAAGTCAACACCATCGATCTCTTCGAAGGCAAAGAGGGCTTTGGTTCGATATGGAAAGGATTCTGCCATCTCTCCACTATCTACAAATCTATACAGTTCACAGTGGAGGGAAAAAGTACATTTCATTCAGATTAGAATCATCAATAGTAACTATGTGTGAACAATTGTGGATCCACAGAGAACAAAGGGGGAAATTACTAGATACCTTGCTTTCATGCCTGGTTTGACTTCTACAGTTTTGTCAGAAGCATGAACTACTCGAACAGTGACCTCTCCTGACTCAGGGTGATTTTGTCGCCTCAGAAACTCATTCACACGATTCTCCAGAAATGTCCCAAGCCTGGTAGATGGCAGTCCTAGGAATTTACAAGTTACAAGTTCAGGAGTAACCAAGGTGCACATTTATTACTATCAGTCAAATTTCAATACCATATCTCATTTCTGCTTTTTCAATACTAGAAAGGTTATCACTGACTCAATGGACATGAATTTGAGCAAACTCAGGGAGACAGTGGAGTACAGGGGAGCCTGGCATGCTGCAGTCCAAGGGGTCATAAACAGATGAACACAACTTAGCGACTCAACAACAACAACACAGAACAGCAGAAAACTGCAGAGGCATCGACCTACAAACTAAAACTACTGCCACCCCACCCGATGGAGAAGATCCACAGGGCTAAACGCAGCCCCGCACAAAACTGAGGGAATCACTCATGGGAGGCAATTCTGGCCTCTATCAGGAATGAATGTCTTGGAACAAGAAAAATACATCTGCTCCTTTTAACACATTATTAGGTGTAATTAATTTCACACCAAAAAGGATATTACAGATATTTACCTCATGGAAAAATTATTTGGTGTTTAGTTTGGTTAAATATTTTAAATAATGTTCATTATTTTAATGAATAATTTTTACTCATTTTATATAATTCATTCTGGATGTTAATTTTAAACAGTGAAGTTTTCCCAAAATTTACCTGTAAGAATGGAACTTACTTTTAGCAGAAAATTTATTTTCTTTTCTAGTTCGTGCAGTCTTCTTTAAACAACCATCACAGACAAATCTAAAATGTAAACCAAGACTTTGTTTAAACAAGTTAGAGAAGCATTTAAAGTAACGCACTCTACAGAATCTATCTCAAGTATGTGTAAAGTTGAAAATAAACAACAACAAAAAAACAACCTGGGAGAAATATAACCAATGTACAAACAGCTTTCAGAAAACATTAAGAAAAGATGAGTAAAAGACATGAAGAGCGTACAAATTAGCTTACATGTGCAAAGATGGTGAAGAATCACAGGTTAAAGCCGAAATTTTATTTTTTGGCCAATCACATTGGCAAAAGTCTATATGCTACTGGTGGAAATATCAAGGGACATTTTGAAAGCAGCATTATTAGATTTCATATGTACATTCTCTTTGTTCCAGCAATTACATAGGGTTGTGTGCATAAGTAGAATTTCTGAGAAAAACTGGACACCACATAAGTACTCATCAACCAGCTGGCTGACCTTCAGTTGCAAGGATCACTGCAAGTCTCGTGATCCTCACCTACTCTGTAATGAAAGAGAGAAACCTATCTAAAGACAAGCTTATCTACTACAATTTTCCTCAGTGTTTTTTTTTTCCTGGAAATTTTGTTATTTAGCCTCCTTTACCCCCATGACCTCTGAATTAGCATCAACAGTCAGTCCAGGAAGAAAGCAGAGGAGAGAGTCGAGCTCCCATCTTGATGAGAGTCACTTAATGCACAGACATCCCCACCCCAACCCTTCCCTTGAACAGAGCTGGGAGCAGCCTCATTCCTGGAGAGCAAGAGGCAGCCGTGGCAGTAAACATTTAAGTGTCACAATGGACAAAAATCCACTTATTTCCGTGAAAGGCACTGATGATATGCAGCCTGGGTAGATATGTGGAGAATAACTCAAGAAACAAAACACAAGGCCCAAGAATATCTAGTTCACTGAAGTCTGTATCTCATCATTTTCATGCATCTCTGCCTTTCAGGGGGGAACACCCATGTTACCTGTTATCCAACTGCCCAAAAGACTTTAAATAATTCACTCTAACCAGGGCCACCATTCAGTATACAATCTCACTGCAATGTTCTCTCAGAAGCAGAAACAAAGTCGTCGTTTTGGCGTCCTCCATTATCCATATCATCTAGTCTACTGCAATATTAGCAACATTTAAAATCTGTGAAGTTTAGCTGACACAACTAACATTTTAAGGGCTTTCCTATGGCTCAGTCAGTAGTCTGCCTGCAGTGTGGGAGAGCTGTTCCATCCCTGGGTTGGGAAGATACCCTGGAGAAGGAAATGGCAACCCACTCCAGTATCCTTGCCTGGAAAATCCCATGGACATGGAAGCCTAGTGGGTTACAGTCCATGGGGTCACAGAGAGTTGGACATGACTGACTGACTAACACTGAGTTGTGTCTAACATTTCCTTGCTAGTTTCTAGGTGCTACAGATTTCCTGTTACCTCTATTGATAAATCCTCTATATTTACTTTTGATGCACAATGACCACCAAAGAATTTAGAAAAAGTGAAACAGCAGAGAGAAGTGTTTATACATAGACTGAAGTGAAGTCGCTCAGTCGTGTCCGACTCTTTGCGACCCCATGGACTGTAGCCTACCAGGATCCTCAGTCCATGGGGTTTTCCAGGCAAGAATACTGGAGTGGGTTGCCATTTCCTTCTCCAGGGATCTTACCGACCCAGGGATCGAACCCGGGTCTCCAGCATTGTAGGCAGATGCTTTACCGTCTGAGCTACCAGGGAATCAAACTAACACAATGCAATAGGAGAAAACACCTGTTCTGGATTCCAGGTTTGTTACTGTTTCAAAACTGAATTTTAATGACCTTTTCCCAATCCAGAGAATAATTCTAAGAGGCAATAATTTTGACGTTAAAAGACAATCATTGCAAAGATGACAAAAACTTGCTAAAGTTCACAACAAAGTCTGGGGAAAATACTGATGCCTCACCCCGATGGCCAGATGATCTCATGATGAAGGACACAGATCTGATGCATCTTTCTCCCACACTCTGTACACTCAACAAACCTGCAAAGGCAAAACGTCGAGTTAAATCCAAAACTTTAACCAAATCAAAGCTGCTGCTATTTCTCATTTTCTGACAATTCAAAAGATGGCCAAAATCATGTCCAAAGAATTGAACTAATAAGTGTTTAAAAGCTCTTTAGTGTAACAGGTAGAGCGAATCTCAAACACAGTTAAATTCAGTCATTAAACCAGAACTATGACTATGGAGTAAGAAGTGAAAGAAAAGATGACTGCTGCTTAAACCTCCGAGTCTGACACCATCCTGTCCATTCCAGGAATGCCTAGTACCAGTACATCTCTGTACCTCTGAAAGGTGTCACAATAAAGGAGGGAATTATGAAATGGCTGGAAAATACAGAGGACAAGGCTGGAATAATGGCACTGAGCAGAGGTAGCTTGGTGCTTCACCTGAACCTATAAAGCACCAAAATAACAGGAAGATGTAGTGAAATGTAAATGTAAACCATAACCTCAATTTTTAACATTTCTACCTTTTTTGCTAGATGTAGGTTACAGATTTAGCCCAAGAATAATAGGATCATCACATTGGCTGCACAAACCAAGAGAATGAAAGGAAGAAGGGAAATGAAAGTGTACTATTCAAGGGGAACTACTTACAGTTCAGGATCCAGAGTGTCATTTTTTCTCTTTGAAAATTGTTCTTTATTTATTGTACTAAGAAAAGAAGAGGACACAATAAGAAAAAGCAACACAGGAAGATTAGCAAGTTGACTATTGTTCTAACTACCAAATGACAAAAACCCCACCTGGTAAGGAGATTATTTAAATCTGAGACTACATCAAGCATACAGCTGGTACATTCTTAGCTCCCACAAAACGCACGTTTACATGCCTATGTTTTTGGAAATGACTTTATAGTAAATCTGTTCCCACTGACAGGAGAACCCAGTAAGACCTAAAAGCATGAATTTGTACTTTTTTCTTTTCCTTTTTAAATTTTGCCTACTACTCTTAGTGTTAGGTATTTATACCTTTGAATAGTTTAATGTTTCTAGACAGCTCAGTCTAGCAGTATGAAAGACAGTGTGTATAGGGGTAGATAAACCACTATTAAAAAAAAATTTTTTTTTAGGACAGTCCAGTCAAGCAACTTTTTATATTAATTTAAAAAAAAGGGTTCATTAAAAAATTTTCACATGGCCTCCTATCCTGAAATCTAGCCTACCACACTGCTCACAGTCTCACAAGCACAGGAGGCCACCTACAACAAACTTAAAAAAAAATTTAAGAGTGTTTTTAAGTTAGGGGCCTAACTTAGACTACTGTGATTCTTCCTCATAAAAATGAAGCGATTTCCCCACTGAAACTGTTTTCTCCTAGTTACAGACTCCAGATTCATCGCTACGTGCCCTAAGGTATTGCTACCCAAAGTGTGTTCAGAAGACTATCAGCCTTGAAGGACCTGGGAACTTGTCAGTAACACACGCTCTTGGGCTCACTGCCAACTGCAGAACTGGAAGAGGGGTTCCTAACACACTTCAAAGTCAGAGACCTGCTGTCCTAAGGTACAGAACTTGTGGTAAGGGTGCCTCCCTTTTTTGCATCAGGGAAACCTACCTAGACCTGACTTCCCTGGTTAGCCAAGGTTAGAAAATCTCAAGGCTCAAGGGGACCCAAACCAGTACCAGACCCCACCACTTTATATGTCAATGGTGACTGAAGGAAAAGTACAACTTCAAAATCCAATTTGAAGACACCAAGTTTTTCTCAGAAGCCCCGTTTTTACTAGTAACGTAACAATTCTGAACTGCTATGGGAAATGTTCTGAATTGGTTGATTATAGGTTAAATTGGAAGAGAAGAATATTTAAAGGATACCAAATAGTTCTTTCTTCCTAAAAGAGTGAAAAATTTGACGGCCTGAATCTTATAGATTAGAGGCAGTTCAGGCAATGTTTAAAAAATGTTCTTGGCATTTACCAAACCACAACAGCTTGTGGACTGCAAAAGTCCAACCAAGTCCCTTTATAATAAGTCATTCTCACAACCTCCTAAACCCCTAATGATATTATGATACTCACGATTCTAAGAATTTTGGTATTGTTAACCTTTATGAGAAGGCTATATGGTGGTTATTTGTTCAATTCTCCTCAAACTCAAAACAATTAATGACGAAATTACTTTGCACTCCACACTTTCACTTTTTAGGAGAAGCTATTTCCTTGTAGAAGGAATCTATTACCATCCAGTATTGTTGTACCCCACCTAAATCAGTACTGAGAGAACTTCTGCTATGATCAAAATGTTCTTCATCTATGCTGATCAATATGGCAGCCACGAGCCACAAATGTCTATGGAGCACCAATTAGAAATTTTAAATCTTATTTAATTTGCATTTAAAATAGCTACCTGTGGCTACACTGTCCTGGACAACAAAATCCAAGACCACTTAGAAGCCTGAGGACAATCATCTGACAACAAACGGAAAAGACAGTACTTTCTAAAATAACAGCTACTTACGTTTGAGGTTGGGAAGGGTCATCCCCCAAAGAAACGCTCTCCCCTTGGATTTCATTGAAACACTTCTCACAGAAATGATACCTGTCGGCAAGAAGGCCATACTGGGGTGAACTGTTCCGTTCACACAACACAGCCCAAGCCAAGCAACGAAGCCACCAATCACAGCAGGCCAAGGAGGGGGACGGGAGCAGAGAGCAGGTCATCAACGGCGACAAGGACATTCAATGATGCAGATTTATGGGCACCACAGTTTGGGTTTTGGTTTTTGCAATCAAAGCCAAGTGCAGACAACGACAAGCATGAGGGAGAAAAAAAAAAACACAAAACAAACGAAGAAATGAGGGATTGCAGGGCAACAAAAAACATAAAAGCAAGACAAGACAACACAAAGCAGAAAGCCAAGGCAAAGCACAGATTAGCATTAAATATCTCAATGGGATCACAAGTAGCAAATGATTACAGCAAATAAACAAGTCTCACACAGACCTATACCTTTTCATTTGGGTAATTAATGCTACTTGATGCAAGTAATCAAAGATAGGATAAATAAAAATCCACTATGGACATAGTACTAGGAAATAATCATCTAGAAACAATTTTGGTCTGAAAAGAACAAAAAACACCAATTTCTCTTTGATTCCAAGGAAAAGAAAATAAAAAGTCTGCACAAGCAGTTAAATACTGATTGTAGCCACCTAGTTTGAGAGGGAAATGAAAGGCAGTGGTATGTGCAGACATGCGATTACATATTCCTTGGTACAAAGACTGGAAGCACTGTAGACTGGTGTTTAAAATCCAAAAATGGTATATAAATGCCAAGATTATAGCATGAGACTATAGCATGCCAGCTGTCACTTGCTTTTTTTGAACATAAGGTGCTAATAACAACTTGAGACCCGTTTTTTCTCTAGGTTTTCATGAGTAAAAAACTGGATTCTTACTTACAACTACAAAGCATTAGGAGAATGCAGCTTTTTGTAAATAAAACAAAAAGTTTAAGTGACTTTTTCAAAGCTAGAAATACATCTGTAGTGCACAAGTTCAGCAAAAAGCCACCACCATGTGGGCTACTTTATCAAAGTACTGACTGTCCAGCCATTATCTTAGACTGTCTTAGACCCCAAGTCAACACCCCATGCCAGGTACAAACTGTTGACTGATTTCACAAAATAAGAGACAAATCATGATTAATGAATGCAATCCGTGTGATTATAGTCCTTACTTTGGCAGGAGAAAAGGCTGCAGAAGTGTCTAACTTATTAAAAGCATACCATCCACTGTCATGTGCATCTTGTAAGGAACAATCCAGTACTGAGCTGTTTTTGGAGGTGTGCCTTTTGATGTACTTAATAGAGAAAAAAGCAAGTACCCTGGGATCCTCTGACTTTATATGCTTCAAGAAAAACTGAGGAATCCATTGCACATAAAAAGGGCATTATTTCCTAAAAGATACAGCTGGGTAACAAATTTCTGGTTAAAAGTTTTCTGGGTAGTTTTGGGAATTTCATGGAGAGATAGATCAATTAATTTGACAATTTTCTGTTTTGCCAGAGGCTGTGGTAAGCTGTAAAAAGACAGTGGGAAAAGAATGTGGAGCCTGGGACATAACCTCATGTATGCTACCAACTCATAAAGTTGCTTGACTTCTTGCCTTATAGAAATACGGGCCCAGACAACTGACACCAGGCTCCTTTCTGCTAGAAAATCATATAATTTTCAAAGGCGGGATGCGAAGGCCAGAACTTGTGCTGTACAGTTGTTTTCAGGCAAGTCACACACGAACCACGACTGTACGTGTGCTGGTCCATCCGCATGCACTCCCTGGACACGCGGACACTGTGACCTTGGTCCACACAGGTCGAGCTTACCTGTTCTGATAACTGTAGTAAGTGGCATCACGAGGGATTGTGCATAACTGTTTGCCATAGCAACAGAGTGTCTGTGGAGAGAACTCCAACTGCAAGAGAAACCATTCGGTGAATATGGTTTGAAGGGCAAGCTAAAATATTTACACTGGCACATCAGAAAGAGAACTGAAGCCTTAGTCCTCATTATGTCTCTCACAATGGGCAATTTCAGTTTCCAAGCCAGTTCACTGAACTAAAACCATTCTAGTTTACTACTGTGCCAGCCCACCGTTCTGAGGTAAGCCTAACAGTTGTTATTCCTCCACCAGCTACCAAAGAACTAAAGACGACAGGAGCTGGTCAATGTGAGCTGGCATACACAGGAAAACTAGCACATGCCAGGCACAGTGCACCACAGGTAAACATGACCAAGTCCCTAACTCAAGATGAACTTAAAATCTGATGATTCAAGGATTATAACTCGTCAAGTTTTCAATGTAATTCTTATCTGTGCAAAAACTTCTTACCTTTCTGCCACAACAGTACCCAAGGCTTTGCATGACAGGGTCAATTTCTTGTTCGAAGACCTCAGACAGCTTGGAGCAGTATTTGTACACCCGTGATGTTTTCCGATTATATAACCAAGCATTGTTGAACATGAGCCAAATGTCATCCACATACTGCCAGGGCTCCTGATACTGTCCAGTGTCTAACTTCCTCTTGATGGTAGAAAGATCCATAGGGCTCTTCACAATATCAAAGTAATCCTAGAAGGAAAAGTGACACCAAACAACATTACCAAAAATCTCAGTATATTCAAGGTCCACAGCATAACTAGCTATAACCATTTTAAATTTTCTAGGTAACGCTGAATCTCTGATGTGTCTGAATGTTCAAAGAAATGATTGATGCCCATCACATCTTTTATTTATTTAAAATCTATCTGTTTATTTGGCTGCATCGCATCTTAGTTGTGGCATGTGGGATCTGTCCGTGTGGTACACAGGCTCCCGAGTTGTGGTATATGCGGGCTCCGAAGCACTCAGGCCTGGATGCGCCCCAGCATGTGGGATTTCAGTTCCCCAATCAAGGACTGAACCCAAATCCCCTGCATTGCAAGGTTGATTCTTAAGTCACTAGACCACCAGGGAAGTCCCCCAACACTTCCTTAAATCATCAGTCTATAGACATATTAAGCAGACAGGGGCAGAGAGAATAACAACTATTTTCAACTTTCTTGTTGTTGTTCAGTTGCTTGGTTGTGTCTGACTCTTTGCGACCCCATGGATTGCAGCACGCCAGGCTCCTCTGTCCTTCACTATCTCCTGGAGTTTGCTCAAACTCATATCCATTGAGTCAGTGATGCCATCTAACCATCCCATCTTCAGTCACCCTGTTCTCCTTTTGCCTTCAATCCTAGACTTTCTTGTAACAAGCTAATGGTCTAAATGAGCAATTCCAGGCACTTTATTATAGTATGTGTGTGATCAACTTGAAGACCAAGAAGTCAAAGACCCTTAGCATTTTAGTACTAGATGGGGCCTACAGATGAAACTAAGATCATTGGTGATTCATCTATAAAAACAGAGGGGAAAAAAACAAAAGATTCCAAGATTTTTACCCCTTGAAGTACTCCAAGGCCTTATCCAACACCACTTAAAATCCTCAAATGAAACTTGCCAGTAGTCTGGTGTATAAAGGCAACTTTAAAAACAGATGAAGCAAAAAAACAAAAAAACAAAAAAACAGATGAAGCTAATTTGGGTCTATCTTTTCTATCATGAAACTACTGCCGCTCAGCTGATAAAAATAAAGCATATGAGCCAGCAATCCCACTTTTAGATATATACCCAAGAGAAATAAAAAGACACAAATTTGTACCTAAACATTCACAGGCACGCTATCTTCAACAGCCAAAAAGTATAAAAAACCCAAATAACTACTGACTAATGAGTGGGTAAAGAGAATCTATGTATATCCATACAAATACTAGTGGGTCATAAGAAAGAATGAAGTACTGATTTGTGCTACAATATGGACAAACTTTGAAAACATTATGTTAAATGAAAAGAACCCTGTTACAAAGAACCACATACTACAAGACTCCATTTGATGAAATGTCCAGAATAAGACAAACCAGAGACTGAAAGCAGGCCAGCAGCTGGTTGGGAGCAGGGGGACTGTGGGCAGAAATGGAAGTGACTGCTTATGGACAGAGTTTCTTTTTTGGGAAGATGAAAAATGGTCCAAAACTGACTGTGGTGATAGTCGCACAATTCTGTTAATAAAAAAACCATTAACTTGTACACTTAAATGGGTGGTTTGTATAATATGTGAATTCTATCTTTAAAAAGCTGCTAACAAACTGTAAGAGAAATGAGAAGTACCACCCACATACTTACAGGGATTCCTAGAAGCTGAGGGTCCACAGGCTGACGAAAGGGTAGCGATTCCGGATCCTGTCGGTAAAGTGCCTCCAATGTTGGCATCAGTGCCTGTCGTAACTCTTCAGGTTTGAAAACTTAAGAAGAGTATATTAGAAATTAGTTACCAATTAAGAGAAAGAGGGGAAAAAGTTCAAGTTGAAACCATAATATATACCTCAAGACCCAGAAAACACAAAATTCCCTACGTTGTCCTCATGAAAGATAACTAAGGGTGTTTCTATTTTCTGGTTCAGACAGATCCTTTAATTTAAAACACCCTGTCTAGTCATCTTTAAATACCCTTCATGATTCAGTTAAATTTCTTAGTCAGAAACCCACTTAGTCTTGACTAAGTAGCAAGAGAATCCTAAGTGCTCCAAAAATATATGAAAAGACTTTGTCAGCATATTCCAAATGATACAATGGGCAAGGGATGCTGTCAAGCAAGAAGAGTAAGAAGCCCTCCCTTAACAATATAAGCGTATAAGTCAGAAATTAGACCTGGTATTGTCTTATCACCAAAGGAATCAGAACCACTGAAGGCCAAGAGTCCTTCGTTAAAATGTTTGATGTTTTAGAGCTTCAGAAGTAGACATATTTACTGTTTCAATGGCAAATGTTAGTTTTAATGGTAAAGAAAAAAAAAAAACTCAATTGTTATCACCAGAATGATGTACTCAGTTATCAAATTATGCTCAAATGTGTTCTCAGTATGTTTCCCAAAAGTCAGGAAGATTTGCTGGTGTGTGCCAAATGGAATGGATTTATGCTCCCATTTAAGCAGCTGGACATTCAGGGTCCATCACTCTGAGCAGGGGCTTATTATTTCTTCTATTTACAAATTAATTTCATCTTCAAGACGGTGTATCTGTCAGTACCTTGAGTATTTTTTCACCACATGGTGGGGGTTGCCATGAAAAATTCAAACTAATATATGGGAAAAGCTTGTCTCTTATATTAATATTTTGCTGTGTTCAAAATAAACAGAATTTGAGCAAATTTGTGAGATTAGCTGTTTTAAATATAAATTCCTAATAGTAAGACGGTTTGTTACAGCCTACATCAAAATCACATCTCCATATATAAAACTTTATTTTATTTTTTAGCAGGATCTTAGTTCCCAGACAAGGGCTCGAACCCCATCTCTCCTGCAGTAGAAGCATGGAGTCTTGACACTGGACCACCAAGGAGTCCCAACAACCTTATTTTTAAATAATTTTTTAGCCCCATCATTTTAAGGTATATTGCACTTTCATATATATCATCTCAGGAGCTACCAGATTCCCCCTGAGGTAAGTCCTACTATCTGTGACACTGAAGGGGTCACTAGAGCCATAAGAAGTTCTAGTCCTAAACTAGCTAGTAAATTAACTTCCGTGGGACCTGTTTAACACTCTCTGCTTAAGCATGCTTGCTTGCCTCATTACCATTCAGTAGCATGGTTCAGAGCAGACTCTGAACCAGCCTGAGCCTCAGTTTTCCAGCCTGTGAAACAGGGGTCAGGGACCTCACAGAGGGGCTGTGAGGGTCCCTGACGAGACAAGGCAGTGTGTGGTACAGTGCCTGGTGCACAGCAGTTAACCAAGAAAACAAAGAATATTATTATTGCTATTATTTCCTGCATTTTGATCCAGAGTATTATTTAATAATTTCTGTCCTCTGAAAGAATTCTGAGAAGTTGTTTGCCACTCAGCGACTGCTGGAAGCAAACACACTTAAAGGAAAGAAAATTCCTTCTCCGACATTAGTAATAATGACCAGGCCCAGGGTGCCAAGCTTAATGAAATCACATGAAAGTTCAATTCCAAGGCTCAAGAAGCCCAATCTCACTCTACTGAAGTCTTTAGTTTTTCCTGTGCCTCCACGAACCCAGAGCCTAAGAAACTTACTCTTCTTCTTTGACTGTCCTGGGGCTGGAGATGACTGGGTCGCTGAAGTACTTGGCTGGTCTTCTTCCTCTTTCGTTTCAGTTTTTAATTCAGTGCCTCTCTCTTCAGTTTCTGTAGGTTCTACTTTACAGTCTTCTGCTTTAGTCTAGAAGGCAAGGTAGGAATTTTTGGTATTCCAAAGACATGTAACTGAGTAGCAGTACCATCATTATCTTATTTACTCTCCCCTGTGGATGGAGCTCAAGACCCTTTATCATATGGAAATCAGTAAAATGAGACCTAATTATCAGAGTCCTTTCCTGTAACATGTTACTAACCCATAAAGGCAGTAACTGCCCTCCTCTCACCTCTGGAATATCCTCCGGCTGAGTATCTGCTGGTTCTGGTGCCTCCACTTCCATTTTAGGCTCCATTTTCACTTCCTGTGAAGGCTGCTTCTCAGGAATGGTCTGAGAATTCACTTCCGTGCTACTAGTAGATGGAGGGTTTGATACCTGCCCTTCGATGCTTACAGCTGGCTGGGAAAGCTGGGTAGAAAAGGGCGGGGAGAGAGGAAAAAAAAAGTCCGTCTGTTACAAAACCAGAATTTAGGCTATATAACAAGATGGCAGAATAACCACCTATTTCTAAACTAGTGTCATTACACCCATTTATGGTGTTTTGGGGCTTCCTGGGTAGCGCTAGTAAAAACTTGCCTGCAATGCAGGAAACATATTCTATCCCTGGGTCGGGAAGATGCCCTGGAAGAGGAGCGCATAGCAACCCACTCCAGTATTCTTGCCTGGAGAATCCCCGTGGACAGAGGAGCCTGGTGGGCTACAGTTCATAGGGTCACAGAGAGTCAGACACGGCTGAAGTGATTTAGCACCCATGTACATGCATGGTGCTTTCACTTACTCTACCTACTTGGCCCCCCTCAAGTAAATTTTGCTTAAGAAATGGGAGACTGAGGACTAACAAATATTGGTTGGCTGGTTGTAGACACAAGAGTCAGCAAATGTTTCTCCAGTATCATTCTGTGACAGTGCCTGGGAGGGAGGTTTCAGAAAGGACTGCCTCAGAGGAGCTCATGTTTATAGAAAAATGAAAAGAAAATAAGAATGACTGACGGGCAATCTTTTAGCTTTAACTTCTCCTTAGATAAAGGTTCATATGTACAAGTTGGGAAAATATAATAAATTCCCACAATGAGCAGCTGTTTGAGTCATCACATTCTAATGGGATAACTAACAATCTCTATTTTCCCTAAGTCTTCCAATAACATACCTCTTAATGGGAAGTCAGTATTTTCAGAATCTATCCTACATAGAATAAAGATGCCTTTTTGCATCCTGCCTTTTCTTACATATGAGAGGCCAAGATGAACCAGTCACACATGAACGACGTATTAAGAAGTAGCGATGACTTAACAGCACTTCTCAGTTTGCCAACAGGACAGAGAAATGAAGTGTTAGTATCAGTGATCAAGTAGAAAGTTTGAACAGTGACACGCCGAGTTCTGTTAATAAGGATGCAACTGTCAGGTGTACATCTGGATCTCTGCTACAAAGGTAACACACCTTTCGCAAGGTGTGTTTCAGGCCCTTATGAAACACCTTCTCATGAATTTTCTAACTTTGGCTAGTACCACAGACATTCATAAATTCAATGATTTTGTTCATTTGCTCTTGAGCAGAGCAGTTCAGGCTGTTTGAAAAGATTCTTTAAATATCTGTAAAATTCATGTGTGGTAATAAACGTCTGGTTGCTTTTCTCCCCTTACATGCTTTCAAGCCTCTGAATACAACATGACCGCAGTCAACACAAGATCTAAACGAAATCTTTGAGGTCCTTCTATGTGAGGTATGACAGCAAAAGTCCATAAACATTAAGAGGTTCTAGTCTGAGGAGGCGACAATGACAGAAGAAATGACAGAATAGACATGGCACAGGGAATTCCCCCGAGGTCCAGTGACTCGGCGCTTTCGCTGCCATGGGCCCAGGTTGGATGCCTACTCAGGGAACTAAGATCTTACAAGCTCACCACCCCAAGCCACCTCCCACCATCCCCCTCCCCCCCAAAAAAAGAAAGAAAAAAGAAACCGCACTGAAGTAGTGTAAAACTACAGCACAGCTGACACAGTTCTGCCTAAAGCCCAGACTCTGCTTACTGGAGTTGCCGGCTGCGGAGGCAGCAGGGGTGCCGTCGGGGTGGGCACAGAGGCTGCTGTGCTTTGCTGGGACAGAGGCTGTTGCTGCGCCTGGTCGACTGAAGGAGCAGCAGGAAGCGAAGGCTGCACTTGGGGAGGAAGTTGCGTTGGTGGTGGCGTAGGCGTTTGTCTTGGAGGTGGATGGAGAACCTGGGACTGTGGGCCAGGTGGCATGGCTGGAGGCGTAGGAACAGGGGCTGGGATTGCTGTTGCTGGTGGCTGCTGAGCCCCTATGCTAGGGGGAGTGTGGTGAGGGGTGGGGGTACGACTAGGTACGGGTGAGGGTGAATTCTGATGCAGAGCTGGTTGAGGGAGAGGGGGACAGTGAATGTGGCTCCCTTGAGACCCAGGAGGCATTATAGGAGAGTTCACAGGACAGGAAGAACTGGACATTTGTGCCTGTTAAAAAGAAAAACATAACAAGATGCAATTCAGAACAGAATCAAAGAAATATTTACATAGGCAGGCTATATACATTTAACAGAAATCAGCAATGAATGCCTCCATTTCAAAATGTGTCAAAAACCCTATTAACTGGGGGCCTGTCTTTGGAAAATCCAACCAGTATAGTACCTAGTTAAGCAGATGTCTCAGGCGCTGTGGGGGCATGGGACAGGTGAACATGCTGTTTTCTAGTCGTCCAATGCTCTCTTCAGCCAATGCTGAAGCTCAGTCCAATGCTCTCTTCTTTCTCTTCTGCTTCGTAGCACTCAGTAAGATTCCATTTTTAAAGAGTTCACTGTTTTAAAAACTGGCTAAAATGGTTTTCTTTAAAATCTAATCTCTCTTACTCAGGCTTCCCTCGTAGCTCAGTTGGTAAAGAATCTACCTGCAATCCAGGAGACCCAGGTTCAGTCCCTGAGTGGGGAAGATCCCCTGGATAAGGAGATGGCAACCCCAGTATTCTTGCCTGGAAAACCCCAGAGAAACCTGATGGGATATAGTCCATGGGGTCACAAACAACTGGACACAACTGAGCAAATAAACCACAATCATGTTTTTCTTATTTACTAGCAAGGAATACCACTGCTGTATCAGAGTCATCACTTCATTTTCATAATACTATGTCCATAACTATTTTTATTAAAAGCTTAATTTTGCTGCCGTTCTCTGTAAAAACCTAGATCAAGAGAAGCTTCAAGATTTGCACAAATTTAGAACAACCATCTGTGAGACATACTTGAGACACTGGTGCTTGACCGCCAGACGGAGCCAAAGGCATATTTGTTACATTCATTCCCTGTGTTGAGAATTGAGTCTGAGGAAGAAACTGGCTCTGGCTGGAAGGCTGCTGCATGCGAGGCCCGTAGCCTATAGGCTGTACACACACACACACAAAAACAAAACAAAACACAGAGCACCAAATTGCTTCATTTTAGTTATTCAACTAAGGCTGGAATCACCAATTAATTGCTCTGGCTCTGCTATGGGAGGGTGGGGAAGAAAAAGAAGAAAGTGGCATGAGAGCAGGAGACACTCATGCCAAGATAATGGAGAAGAGCCTTACTACTTACTCTAAAGCCCACTCTTTTTTTATTTTTTAAGCCCACTCTAAAGAAGTTACATACATGCATCTAGACCAAGGTACAGAGGTAACTGTCTTTATCCACTGCTTGTTTTATAATTGAGGAGAGCAGATCAGTTTCATGAGATTTTTGCTTATGTAGGTATTATTAAAGCATAAGCTCTAAGACTCCATAATGAGTAATTATGGATACCAAAGGCCCAAAACTTCATAATCTAAGAAAGGCGTTTGTCTCATAGTTAAAATGAAAAATAAAATCCCTCATTAAACACAGCAGACCAGAACAGGACATCCAGAAAGGCCCAATGACTGATAACTCTGAGAGGCAGGCTAAGGGCTGGGGGCCAACATGGAAAGGTGGATGACAGGTTTAGAATCTGCATTAAGGAGCAGTGAGATGCCCAAGAGTCCCTCTTCTCCACTCGTGAGAACCAGACAACTGCCCCTCCATCACCCTTGACAGTTTCCTCCCTGGGCAGGCTCTGTGTCTGGGGAAGATAGGCATTAACGGAAGAGAGATGACTTGGTCCAAGTGTGCAGACTACTCAACACTGAGCGACACCCTAGGCAATGGTGACTGGGTGCTGTCACAAGCTTTCTAGTACTGTGACTAGATATGGACAGTATTTGGAAGCAAATCTTTCTTTTAGTGTTTATTTTATATAAATTATAATCCAGAGAGTTCCTAACTATACAGGATCCTATGTACTTTAGACACAAGCTTTTCCCAATTAAAGCTGTAAACAGCTTTCATGCCATCATGTAAGTTCTGAAATTACCACTTATGAAGCATTCCAATTTACAGATGTACCACAATTTAACCATAATGAATCCCTTAATGTACATTTAGGCTATGGCCATTTTCTAAAACACATAATACACCACCCTTAATATGAATTTTCTTCAAATTATATCCTTTTAGTATCTCAGGAATTATTTCCATAGGATAAATTTCTAAAAACAACAAGTATAGGTAAAAAGAGGTAGGTGAAAATTAAGGACTTTAGTATTCACTGCCTAATTGTGGTATATGGTTTAGTTTTAATCATTTAATCATATCTGTGTTAAGGGCTAAATACAACAGAATTCTATACCAAAACAAAACAAAACAAAAAAAACCCACACCCAAAAACAACAGCATTAAGAACTAATTGCATATAGTTAGCTGTTTAAGCAAGTGTTAGAATTTGTTGTCTCAGAGAAAAGGAACTTTAAAAAGGTCAAGTAAAGGCCAAAAAGATGACCCAGAGGTCACACTTACCGGATTAAGTGTTCCAGTTTGAGCTAACTGTACATGGTGCTGAAGAGGAGAGGTTTGCCGGGGTCCAATAGGAGGCTGAGGCATACTCATCTGGCCAAATTGATTCAAACCTGTAATCAGTACAAAATACTAAATCTGAACACCATGTGACTGGAGAATAAGAGAGTTCTTCTTTACAATTCTATGTCATTTTATCAGGACAAATAAAGGAACCTGCTTCCAACTGTGAGGGAATCTCTGTTTCATTCACAATAGCTACAGAAAGGCATTGTTAATTAATGTATGGTCTCAACCAAATTTGGATGGAATAGATTTCATCTTGGCTAGTTGTTTTTAAATGAATGCTTGATCGTTTGTATCTTTTGCTCCTAGACCTGCCAGTCAACCTGCTTTTCACCCTCCCTCCCTCCCTGGGCTCCTAATCTAAAAGGCTTTCTGATTTCTCAAGTAGACAATCATAATACCTGCTGCTGAGCGACAGCAGGAATCAAGGCGACAATTTTAAGTTTGTAACACACTAGGAATTCTGTTAAAAAACAAAAACCTTACCAGGTTGTGGAGTTACCCGAGGCATCATCTGGTTTGGCACACTGCTACGGATCATAGATGGATCAGGGAGAGGGCCATCTAGAGCAGAACAGAGAAATGGTTAGAAACACACCTTTCAGGCAGCTGTTCCTGTTTAAATAAGAGTAGTAACTTAACAGAATTCAGTCTATCAAAAGAATAAAGGTTTGAACTAAAGAGGAATCTGAAGAAAATGCTTTTCTGCAATACAAGAAAATGCCTCGAAATGGTTTTAGTCCATTTCTTTATGAACCAGTGTGCTTTTGGTGTTGACAGGAAATAATATAATGAGATCTTATATTTAAAAGACTAATGCAGTATTTAATATGCCGTCATTTGATTAAGCCTGATTATTTCACTGCTAAAAAGGATATCTCTATAGACAAGAGCCACAGATTTTGTCCAGTGACCAATTTTGATTGTGTACCCCCCCAATAATGTGTTTTGATGTATACACGTCCAGTGTGAACACTGACCTTAAATAATATACATATTATACTGCACTATATATCATGTACCTCTTAAATACAAAAATAGAAATAATTAAGAATCATTAAAATCCATACGGTCTAAAATCACCTTTTTCATGAAAGGTGGTTTGCTTGGTTTGCTCATTAGTTATGTTTATGGTTAAAAAAAAATTGGATTCTTCTACAATTAATTTCTGTATACGGGATAAGAGACGGATTTCATTCTATAAATACGCACTTAGGGCTACTCAGTTCCACTAATATGTTCTTGCCTACACTAGAATCATTGTTTGTATTTTAAAATAAGACTACAATTTAATACCTGACAAACTTTAAACTTGGCTCAAATTTCTAAGAAGTCAAGTAAATTGTACCACACTCAAAATATCTCAAACTTATCCACTTGTCTCTATATCTTAGTTATTGCTTTAATTCAAACTATCAGCACTGAAGCAGTGTCCTCAACTCTAGTCTTTTGTCTCTATATCTTAGTTATTGCTTTAATTCAAACTATCAGCACTGAAGCAGTGTCCTCAACTCTAGTCTTGACTTTGTTTCTGAACAATTGTTCTACCTATCTACTAAAAACAAAAAAAACCCAAACCCACACACCTGCAATTTTCCCTTGTTAGTGGGGCCTCCGTGCATGTTGCTCTCTCTGCCAGAAATGCTGTTCTCAATTCTTTTCACCATCATGGTCCAATGAGAAAATGTATCTAGCACACCACGGTTAACACATGAGGCTGCTGAAAGCTCTCCACCTGACTACTTCAAGACCTGTGGGGTGTGAATTTCTCAGCCTACTCACCATCCACCAATGGCCTAAGAGTTGGTACCTGCTGGCTCCGTTGGCACTACTTACAGGTAGCCAGCTTTTCCTGACTCAAAAACCACAGCTTTTCCCCATCATAGCTGTTCACGCATCATTTAAACAGCCTGCATTTTTCCTCACTGTTGTGTACATACACTATATTTCATTACTTGGAACCTAGTAATGAGTCAATACATAACAGAATGCATAATCATTTTGGCTATTCAGTTAATTCATTACGTTAAGAAGGCTGCTATAATCCGAACAATGAAAATGTCAAGATGAATTTTATATGCTTCTTCTAAGAAAATAAACAGTTCTTAGCCTATGAACATATTGGGTCAAGAAGAAAGTGTGACAAGTAATCTGATACTGTTTAGGATGTATGGAAGATAGTGAGGTGCTTCCCTGCTGAGTCTACATCAATTGGCTGCCTACCACATGCAAGTCAGTAAAAACCCATGGGCTATCAGTTCCTAGGTGTCACTATGAGAGAAGAATACCTTTGGCACTAAAAATGATGCCATATTGTTAACACATGTCAAGTAACAAAGTCTAGGAATCTTCAATATACTGTTTACTGTTTTTACTAGAGAATGAACTAAGTTCTTTGAAAAGGCAATAGTCATTTAAAAGCTCTAGAACAGTAACATAAGCTAATGCAAATTAGTGAATTTGGTTAGAAACCATTTTATTTCAGTTTCTCCTAAAAATACATAAAAAGCACTTACTAGAAGTCATTCCTGGTTGTGGCTGCCCCATGTTAGGCCCCGTGTTCATAACTGGCACCATGCTTCCAGCACTTGGTAGCATGTTCTGTTTCTGCAGTCTAGTCCTTCGCTTTTCTTCTAGTTCCTTCTGGATCTTATAGATCTTCTCAGCTAGCAGGTGGTAGTATTCCGCCTTTTTGAATTTTGTTAAGTAGAGATGAGGAAAAAAGACAAATTACTATCAGGTAACAGAAAAATGAACTAAGAGCAAATATCTGCTTCATTTAAAAAAGGCAAAAATGAAAAGGGAAAAGAAGCACTCGAATCTACTTTCTTAGACCATTCCAAATATGAGCTCACATTTAAAATGATCAGTGAAAAACTGCTATATAATGAATTTACATAGTAAGGCAAGACTTCTCAAAGTACAATTCCCAACATGTGCAAAGAATATGCTGCTTCTTAAAGAAGTGCCAATGTAGAGAAGAAAGTTCAACTGATACAGAAATACTACTCGAGATGAAAATATTAAGCAGCTGATTCACCACCATATTCCAGTGAAAATAGCACGGAGCATGGTAACAGCTCAGCCACTTTTTAGCCGCCAGAAGGACAACCCAGATAAAGTGCCACATGAGTGCGCTGTATTAAGAGGAAAAATGTAAGATTCTTGACATACACTTTGAGAAAAGTGTTTTGTTATCGCAACTCCACAGTGCATTACAGGACAGAATGGCTAAAGGGTGTCCTCTGAGGTACAGTGTTCTGTGTATGTGCAACAAAGAGGAACAAAAATAAACAACCAGAAGAGGTCCACTTTTGCTTTAAATAGAAAAAACAGATGCTCACTCGATTGTTCGCCGATTCATACATGTCCCCTTCCACTTTCCGGGCATATGCAACTAGGTTTTCCATCCGTCTGTCTTTTAAAGCAGCAGGATCCGGAGTGGGAAATATGGCTTGAACACTAGGAATATAAAATCCTACCACTATTATATCACATCAGCTTTTTTTTCTCATCACAGAAAAACACAGTATTTTAAATATTTTCCTGGTTAGTATTTTCTCATTTTTATACAATGAATACTTTAGGTAAAATTTTAAAATAAGGCTTGAGATGTGTTCAAACATAAATTACTGACCAAAAGAAGTATCTGTCTGTATTAATCAAATCAAAGGGTTTTCCTGATCAGAATATAAGAAATGACTCTATAGAAATACTCTCTGGTCCCTGTTACTCTAATGTAGGGCCAAAAAAAAAAAAAAAATACTGTGCTATCTTCTTAAAGGGAAGTGAGAAAACCTGAACTTTGCTGTAGCAGCATGTAGCAAAAGCCTTAAGATCCTTCTACTCTTGTACTCAGGTTAGTAAAATAAAAACCTAATAATCTCTACAATATCTTAAAAGATCAAAAACTTGAAGTGAAGGGAGCAAAAATGCAAAAAAATTCTGCTAAATTCAATGTCTTTTACTGTCTAGCAATTCCCCAAAATGCTTGGCACTAACTTTCCTGAAGGCTGACAAATGTGATTTCAGCTACTTATTTTATCATCTGGTTATCTCATGGTCAGCTGTGTATTACACCAGAAGGAACCAGGTGGAGAAGAAATAAATGGAAATCCGAGTTAGTAAAAAGTTCTCAAGCATATAATATTAACATCAAGTCAGATGATCAATCCCAAATAACCTACCGTCTCTATTAAGTTTCTAAACAATCTGATCACAAGATAAGTTTGTTTTGGTTATTCCTTATTAGTTCATTGTATTAAAATAATTTCAGTTTTCTCTTTGTGCCAAATACCATTTCTGGTGCTATCATTTGAGAATTTCTAAATGAAGCTCAAGTATAACTGATAGGCTAATGTAACATAAAAATAAACTAAGAAGATAAGACAGACTACCTGGTTTTAAGGTAATAAAAAAAATTGGATGAAGTGGAGATCCCTCTATTAAGTAAAGGGAAGGAAAAAAAAAAAAAAGACTGATTCTTCCAAAAAAAAAAAAAGTGCTGCATTTTGTTGAATATAAGCTCTGTAACCAGTGAGGGCAAAGCTCTATTTTTAGGGTACTGGGTATATTACATTTTACCATTCTATATGTCTTACGCCTCTTTCATCCAACAAGACAGTGTTTGTGAGGCAGTGTGCCTGGTACACATTAACTTCACAAGAAACAGTGCACAGGTATTTCACAAGCAATCGCTATGTACACATTTAGAGGACCAGAAGACCACAGAGGCCACCCAAACAGATTCAATTTGTCAAGATAATAAAAATTTTACCAAGGATAACAGAAGGCTGTGTTGCCTCTACTATTCTAATCATCTAAGTTAAAACCTAGTTTTTCTTTTAAAATATGAGCTTTGTAAAGGAAAATGATTATTAAATAATCTTTAATATATATTGATTATTGTCACTAGACAGAATCCTCACACATGATTAAAAGCTAAAAGACACCTAAGAAATGATGGAGAAAAAGTCGAGAAGCAGAGAATAGGAAGTAGGAAAGCCACAGGAGAAGTATCAGCAGCAACCAGGCTATAGAAAAATCAGTAATTTCTCGTGTTTAAGTGCCTGGCAGATTGACCTTGTAACTCCTTATGAATAAGACATGCCAACAAGCTTACAGTTTGTGGACAAGATGATTTCGAAGATCCTGAGTAATATCCTCATGCCATTGCTTCCGAATTCCAGTACTGGATGGCTGAGCTGCTGTTGGCATAGGACCCAGAGAGGCCACACTGCCATTGTCACTCATCATTGGGCTTTAAAAAGGAGTGAGACAGTTTTAGCAAAGAAGGGTAGGAGAAAGGCTCTCATTTAAGCAGAGCTAACAGCAAGGACTGCAACAGGGTCAATACACTATGACAAGTCTGCTTACACTTAAGTCTGGGGGAAATGCTATGTATGTATTTGTACTTGTGAGGGGAAACAATTAAAACACACAACATTTTACCGTGTGGAGGGGTGGCTGATATCTTGTGTTTAAAAGACTAAGTCTTGTGTTACAAGACTAAGCCGTCATTTTGACACAGCTTACCCAAGAATCCACTGGGCAATGGACTAATTGCTAACATTGGGATAAAGCAATCTCGCTTTTTAAGCAGCTGCATTTGTTAACTTCCTACTGCATTTGTACAGGTGTCAGTTACTCCAAATAATTGATATAATTTCTAAAGAGGTTATAGAGAGCCTAAAGAAAACATGTAACTTGTCATCATTCATCAAGGATATTGTCCAATTAAGGAACCTTAAAAAGCTCAAATAAGGAGCTCGAACAAGTGTCTGAAATCTGACCAAGGGCACAAACCAAGATTAAAACTTACTTTTGAGAATTTATGGCTGAATGCAACATCGAGTCAGAAAGAATATTCGACGTTTGAACCCCTACACCTCCATTTACTCCCATAGGACTAGCACCTACGTCAAAACAAAAAGCAAGAGATGGTATTTTAAATACAAAAAAATGACAACAAAAACAACAAAAATTAAGGATAAAAAAGAAGAGGAAAAACTATGAAAGTACTAGAATAAAACATTACAAGAATTTTTTGTCCTTTCAAAAGACCCAAAACAGAAGTTTTAAGGATACTGAGAAATGTGAGTAATAAGTAAAATAATCACCATAAACAAAGTCAAGAGAAAGATGACAAATCTGGGAGGAAAAATGCTAATATTATAAATAATAATTATTTGCAATATAATCAGCAACACATATATAAAGGTACTACACAAAGTACCTTTACAGCATAGTAAGAAAAACATGAACAATCCAAGAGGAAAGGAACAATTTACATAAAAAAAGGAAATACAATGGCTTAAAAAATATACATGAATGGAGAGGGAGGTGGGAGGGGGGACCGGGATGGGGAATACATGTAAATCCACGGCTAATTCATTTCAATGAATGACAAAAACCACTGCAATGTTGTAAAGTAATTAGCCTCCAACTAATAAAAATAAATGGAAAAAAAAAAAGAAAAGGTTAAAAAAAAAAACACATGAAAAACATATAATTATTATTTTTTCATGTATGAAATTCCAAAAACTTTTTTTTGGCCACTGGGCTTGTGGAATTTTAGTGGCTTGTGGGGACCTTAGTTCCCTTAACCAGTGGTCGAACCTGTGCCCCCTGCAGTGGAAGCATGGAGTCCTAACCACTAGACGATCAGGGAATCCCTATGAATTCCCTTAAAGTTTGAGAAAACAAAATGTTGAGAAAGGTTTGGGAAAAGCAGCATTTTCTATGAAAATTCATAGGTGTGTAAACTGATCCACTCTTGGGAAAGCTATCTCGTAACTGTTAAACAAATAAAAAAAAAAATGCACACACATTTTCACCAACTTAAGATTTCCACTTGCTATTCCATCTTACAGTTATAGTCACATGTATGGATAAACATAAGAGTAATGGTGTCAAAAGTAGCAAAAAACTAGAACTAAGATTGTTTAGGGAACCGAACTTAACACATGTATGTGTTTTCATAAGCACCATCTATGTAAGAACATAAGAAACCTAAGGATGATGATCCCCAGGGAAGGGAATGAAAGACAGTATTTGTGTTACACATTTTAAATTGACCACTCTTTCAAACTGGCTTGAATAGCTCTATGTATTCCTATTACTATTTTAATTAATGATTTAATGAATATTACTTCTTTAAAACAAAGAAAACTATCAATGGCAATATTTATACCAAACCAGATTTTCATGTGGTTAAAATTTTTTGATAAACAATTTTATTAATATATCCTTCAAGATATTTAGTTAAAAATAAGAAAACAAAACTCCTCCCTAAAATGCAAATAATTGACTGATTTCTAAACAGTGTCTAATAAAAATCCTATTGCCTTCTTTCATCACGCTTCCCAAATGGTTAGGCAGAACGCTCCTTCTAACAGCATCAAGGTAGGCTCTGAAATGCAGTCGCTGGTAGTGGCTTATCTGTCACTATGAAATACTCATTTTTAAGAAAATTACACATCCTTAACACAGATCTGCTTCACTGACTGCAACAGTATGAAGGTAAAGAAAAAAGTGATTATACTATTACTGATTTATTTTACTGTCTTCTGATGGCACATGAAAACAGACATTCCCTCCCAAAGTATCCAGGTTCATTTAATCTTTGGCCTTGATTGCAAGTAATGGCTCAATCATAACTTTAGAAAAATACTTTTATACAGATTTGTATTTAAGACCCTAAGAGTGAGCATTCACTTGAGATACAAAAAGGTAGGAACAGAAACACTACCGGCACTGACAGAGTAAGTCAGAAAGAAAAAAATGAACAAAAGAAAAATTCAAAGCACCTAATAATCAAGGAGAAAACACATAATATTTTAAGCCTTAGGGAGAATCTTAAGCCTTAGGAGAACATGTATTTTTTCCTAAGCCCTGACAAAATCTTTATACATTAAGTGAATCCAATAGTAATCAGAAGATTAAGAATGTGGTTAAACAGGGCCACGGGGGCCTTACAGTAAAAAGCTCTAATGCGGAGTTCTGGGAGTTGCTCCCTCTTTCCCCTCTCTGCTACAGAATTTCTATTACCTGAAATATATAGTAGAGATCCTGCTGTTTTGTCTGTTTGTTCACTTACCTGCTCATCCACACTAGAGATGTCTTAAAAGTAGGGACAACTTTTGAGCCCCTGCGCCACAACTACTGAGCTCGCAAGCCTAGAGCCTGTGCTTCGTGACAAGAGAAGTCACTGCAAGGAGAAGCCTGCAGAGTAGCCCGTGCCTGCTGCAGCTAAAGGAAGTCTATGTACAGCAATGAAGATCCAGCACAGTGCCCCCCAAAAAACAGTAGAAGAGATCAAAATTAAAAAATAAAAATCAACAACATTTACATTTTTATGAATAGTGTGCCCAACTTTGCTTTCTCATTTAGAATAAAAAAATAATGTGCAAAAACTAAAGCCTATTGTACCTATCAACAGAACGGCAAAAATAAGTTTCACAGGAAAAAGCATGATAGATTACTTCAAAACAGACTGCTGTCTAGTTACAGAGAACTTCATCACCATGAATGATTTTGGAGTAAGCAGCAAAGGATTAAGTCATGGGCTTACCAAAACTGCTTAGATGTTTAACTGCTTGACAGTAAAGAGATAGTCATAGGGCCAATCTCTTTCCCCATATAATTACAGAATAAAAACCATCCTCAAATTAGGGTATCAGAACACTGCTCACTCTTCCCTTCCCTTTGTTCTATCATAGAAAGAGGTTAGGCAAACAAGTGTATCTGATAAACTATTTCAAAGGCAAATCACTCCAGCTACCAGATACACTGTAATCTATATAAACAATAATCAAACACTTCAAACCAAAAGAATACTTCCAGCCCAAACACAACCATTTCTTTCTATAGTTTAAAATATAAAAAAATTTGGAAACTTAAATGTCCACCTGTAACAAGACTGTTCTATACAACAGAGTAGTATAGAAGCATCAAAAAGGATACATTAGGTACAGAAACAGAAAGATGTTCACATTGTATGAAGAAATAGTCTGTTAAAACTCATGGGATCCCATTTCTAGAAACAGAAACTAATATATGCACAAGATTAAGAAGGATATACACCAATAGCTGTTGCCTCTGGTATATGGATTACAAGGGATTTTTACACTATAATCTTTTAAAAGTTATTTCAAAAAATTAATCACGTAACAACAACAAAAAAAATGGGGAGACGAGGGAGAGAACAGAGAGCGGGTAAAAGAGACATACACATACACGCAGACTAAAATAATCTAAGGAGCTACCCTTGCAGGTTCACACACACAATCACACACACAACTGGTGCCACCTTTGTCATGAAGAGGAGGATGCACACTTACTCATGTTGCTCATGGGCCGCATCCCTTGGGGAGACTGCCCAGACTGCTGGTTCTGCTGATTCTTCGCTTGCACCTGGGGCTGGGTCGGCATCTGATTTACTTGATAGGGCAGTCCAAGGGCTGCATAGGCTCTTTCTATAGAGCTGGGATCAATCTGACTGACAGTGCTTAGGCTGGGAGTGGACTGTTGACCCACCCCTAGAGAGCTAGTATTGCCAAGTCCAACTGGTGTTCCAGTCAAAATTGCTAGGGAAAACAGAAGAAAGAGTATTACAACATTAAAGATGCTGAGAAAGGAAATACTATCATGTCTGAGTTTTAAACACAAAAATACTGTTGTGTGATTATGAAATACATGCATCTTATTTCCCATTATTTCCTTAAATTTCTAAACATAGAACTGATTGGTCAAAGGGCATCACTGGCGTGAAAAACTTTTGACCCAAAATACCCAAAAGCCTCCCCACAGGCTGTATCAATGTTCCCACCAAGAATGCATGACAGTGTGACAGGAAAGAAATGGTATTTTATTTCATTACTTAATTTAATAGGGAAATTTTGGGTATTTCCCCTTCTAGTGAACTATTTCCTAGTCCTAATTCTCTACTAGGATATCTATGGTTTATTTACTAATTTATGGAATTTCATTCCTTTTTGAAATATGCTATATGCAGTTCCAAATTTATCTTTCAATCCTAAATGCCACTTTTCAATCCTAAATCCTAAACTTAGGATTTAAATTTTTAAATCTTAAATGAGACGTGGTGGCTGCACTTTCTACTTTTGACACTTTTTTTTCTCTAAGAAAAGCTTATCACCCCCAGGCTTCTAAAAATAACCTCAAGCTTTTCTCTAACATTAATTTCAAATTATCTAAATATTTAGATCACAGGTAGAGAAGAGTAATAATCTGCCCAATGTCAAAGCAATGATCTTTCTGGATCTTATTTTAAGTAGTAAATACTTCAGTTCTAACCTTATTATTATGAAGTTTGAGGTAAGTGGAAATCATCTAGTATGACAGCACTGGCAGTCACAGGAACTTCATATAATCAAGAAGTATGTTAAATCTCACCAAATTGCACTGGTAAAGAGTCTAAGAATACTTTGATATAAAAATTTCAAAAGATTTCATCACTTACACTGTTGATTTCTCTTATCTCCAGCATTTTTAAGGGGCAGACACACAGGACAATCATGCCTTGTACAATTCTTCCAGTGTGAAATGATTTGTCGAGAAGATGCACAGTGTGCCACTAATAAGAAGAAAAATGATTTTTTACATTACTATTAGCTAACTTATCGACCATATAACGAGTGCTACAAATGTTATTAATGCATCTTGCTAACACCCCCTAAAGGGTTATTAATCCTTATATTTTACAGTTGAGAAAACAGGCAAAAACAGGCTGAGTAATTTGAACAAAGTCACAGAGCACCCAAAGTGGGATTCAAACTCAAGCAGTCTGATTTCCAGAGCCTCTAATTTTGACCACAACACTGTGTGAGAAAAATCTTTAAAAAACAGATTTCCCTTTTTAAAAAAAAAAAAGGGTACAGGACTTCCCTGGTGGTTCAGTAGATAGGAATCTGCCTGCCAATGCAAGGGTACCCTGGTCCAGGAAGATTCCACACACCACAGAGCAACAGCCTGTGTGCCACAACTTCTGAGCCCGCGAGCTCTAGGCCCTAAGAGCCGCAACTACTGCAGCCTGAGTTCCTAGAGCCTGTGCTCTGCAACGAGAGAAGCCACCACAGGGAGCAGCCACTGCACACCACAACTAGAGAAAGCCTGCCTGCAGCAATGAAGACCCAGTGCAACCTTCCTCCCAAAAAAGGGTACAAATGAACTTATTTACACAACAGAAATAGAAAAATAGATAACTAGTAAGAATCTATGTATAGCGCCGGAAACCCTACTCAATACTTTCTAACGTGTTTGCTTACATGACAGCAAGCTCTCAATATTTAAGGCTATGCTGGGGCAAATAAAGTCCCCTGCAAAAGAGGAGTCTCTAAAACTTCCTCTACCATCACATCTCTAGATACTCACTCACAAAATGACACTGAATTTTATCATAACATAGAATAAAGCATTATCAGTAAGGAGTCTCAGGAGAGAGAAAATGTGATCAGCTCTAACTATAAATAAATACTGACTGCTGGGTATAAAAACCTCCGAGCCCACTCACCTTGGCAGGACTTGCCCGACTGGCAGTGTGTCATGTGGTTGAGGACGTTCTTCATCGTCCGACAGTGGGGAAGGTTGCACTGCCTCACCTCCCCGTTGGCCTGCTCCCGGCGTTGGCACTTGTGAGCATGCAGGAGGAGGACAAGCTGCTGCTGGATGAGCTTGCGCTTCTCTGGATCAGCCGTATGTGCTCCAGAACCCATCCCTTGGGCCACCGGAGCCACCAGGCCTGGCTGCTGGACCTGTGGGGCCTGCTGCTGGCCCTAAGGGATACAAGGGTAAAGACACATTCAATGTTAGGTGTCACTGGGTGCTACCTCCTGAATAAATATGGACCTGGAGATTTTCAATGAAAACCTTTACCATGTCATCTACTACATGCCAGACCCAATTTTTTAGCACAGGGGATTCTAAGATAAATGATGGCTTCTGCCATCAAGAAGCTTAATTTAACAAGAAAATAAATTACTATTACTATATTAACAAGTAATATAATCAAAGTATGTATAACATACAGAGAGCAAAAGAACGAGAAGGACATGGTAAAGTCCAGTGCAAGGGGGAAAATAAACAAATCTGTTGTGAAGGGCGTGTTCAAGTTAGGTTTTGAAATAGTCAAGTTTCTTGGGAGACCTGGCAGGGGCCTTTCAGGTGGGTGAAAAACTAGTTTTTGTAAACTCTGGACAAAATTCGTTTCTTCCTATAGAAAAGTAAACATTTCTGGAGACAGAGAAACGTGTTAATCTTTCTGTCTCCAAAACTTTGAGGAGTATCTAAAATACAGGCATTCAATGACTGTGGGACATAAAGCAAAAAACCTAAAGTATCTGAAAAGGAAATAAAATTCCTATAGTACAATTTTTGAAGACAAACATGGACTATTTGACACATTTACAACTAGAGATAGTTTTACTTTAGAAAAATAGCAATGTTAGAAGAGTTGGAGATTTTTCCACAGCAACAATCACTGTTAAAAATAATGTGTAACTTTGAGAGGGAGGGAAGTTACTTCTCTCTAACAGTACAGTACCAGATATAAATCAATAGATATCCAGATGACTGACCAAAGAGGAAAAAGGTTCCACTTTCCTATCCTATAGAAAGAATTGCGTATACAAGGAGTTGAATATGGCAGGACCCCAAAACTTTCATTGTGGCAGCCCCACTTGCTTCTGTTTGGACTAACATCCTTACTGGTCAATACCCAAGTAAAAAAAATACCATGTGAAATGGAAGGCAGGCACATGCTTCCTTGATCACAGGGACCATCCCATTATATCCTAGAGTTCTGCTTTACAGAGGAACAGAAAACATAAAAGTTTAACAGAATTCTTAAAAAAACAAACAAACAAACAAAAAAAAAAAACCAAAATCTTTTGGCTGTACCAAGCATGCATGGCATGTGGGATCTTAGTTCCCCAACCAGGGGTGGAGCCCATGCCCCCTGCATTGGAGGCACAGAGTCTTAACCACAGGACCACCAAGGAAGTCCCAAACACATTTCTTTTGCTCAAGTGTCAGATGGAAAACAAATCTGCAGACAGATTACTACCCACCATATTGGGCATTCCTCCACCAGGAACTGCCTTTTTGTCCATTGCAAATGGAGATAAGCTATTTGGTAGTACAGACTTTGTCGGAATCTGGAGACCAAGGCCACCGGCTCCCATCTGCTGTCCGGAATTCTGAGTGTATGGTGAACCGTAAGGATTAGGGTTGTTCATCATTCCCATCTAAGAAGAAGAAACAGAAAAGAAATTACACCTTATTCCCCACACTAACAGGACATACTATTTCCTTTCCTTTTCCACTTCCTAATTTACAAAGACAACTTTAAAAGAAATTCTCCGTATATAAAAAGACTATAATCTAGGGGCCTGAGGTACAGTAAATTTAGTTATTTCCTATAAATATGAGATGTTATTAAAAATGTGTCTTCATTTAGCTACAACTACTAAGCAGGTTCTGCCATTCATCTCCACTTTCAATGAACTAAATAACTTTCATTTAATGTGCAAACTATAACTTAACAAATTCAATTCAACTCAATAAACCATCTAATCCTTAAATATATTAGAGAACTTGATATATCAAAGCATTCGAATGCTTATTCCAGCATTAAAAAAAAAAAAAAGGAAGGGGACTTCCCTTACTGTCCAGTTGTTAAGACTCTGTGCTTCCAGTGTAGGGGGAAATGGGTTTGAAACCGGGGAACTCGGATCCCAAAAGGTGTATGGAGCAGCTGGGTTAAAAAAACAAACAAATACCAAAAGCAAGGTAGAAAACTGGTAGTTTGGGGGATGTGTCTTTTTTAAATTTAGGGACACAGTAGAATAGTGATTTAAAATTTTTTTTGAATCTGAATTATCTAGATACAGCGTGTAAACTTGAAAGCCTGCATTTCTTGATATCTTACACCTAGCTGCTTTATTAAATTGCTTCCTTGGCTCTTAAAGTAATCTGAGTGTATCTGCAATCCCTATGTACTTTAAAAAGGAAGTTTGGGGACTTCCCTGGCAGTCCAGTGATTAGGAATCTGCACCTTCATTGCAGGGGGCACAGGTTGGATCCCTGGTCAGAGAACTAAGATCCCATATGCTTCAGAGCATGGCTTTAAAAAACAAGTATTTCCCTGTCTTTATGTAAGTCCATGTGGAGCCATCATACTGTAGCTTAAAGAACACAGCATTAATTATTCAAAAGCCAAATGGTTTACTGATAACAATGATGCAACTCACAATTCTATTCTTCCACATAAGACTTCCACATAAGTAAGTCAATCACTGCCTACTAGCAAGCACTCAGGATAGAAACTAAGGATGCTAAAGGAATCATGCCAGATTTCTCATCTTTCTCAGACAGATCCAATTCTATCAAAGGGTCCTTCAAATTCTACCTCAAGCCACCCAGTCCCATGTATCCATGCCCACTGTCACTGTCTTAATTCAAGCCCCTGATCACAGCTTTTGTAGACTGTATCTAACAGGTTTTCTTGATATCTGTCCTCACTTTCTTCTACTCACAAGGGGGAAAAAACGATGGCTTACCAGACCTTTCATTATCTGCATGAGAACTTGACTACTTCTCCATGGCAGAAGTACTGCTTATCTCCCTTACCCATTAACTTGCAAACCTGAGGGCACCATGTTTCTTGAATCTCCAACATTTGCTTCAGCTTTTCCCTTTCCCTATAACTAGGCAGTGAGTGGCATACGTTCCTTCCCTATTTTTTGGTTCCTGAATGCTAACCTGTAAAGGAAATAAAATACTAAATTCACAAAAAGGCAGGGATGATGATAGGGAATGAGACTGAGGGAAGTGGCACTGTTCCAGTGAAAACATAAAAAAACAGGCAGCCTCAGTGGGATGCAGCCAGAGTAAAAACGTATTTGGTCTCTGATAACTGGAATTTCCTATGTGAATCTGACCAGTGAAAATGTAGGGATAATCAAATACAAAAACAAGCTTACATGAAAAGTTTCAGTTTCTTCTGGTAGTTTCAAATGGGGCTGGAAGCACTGCTGCTACATATTGCTTTTAAAGTACTAATATTTACACTAACTTAGTTCCAACAGTGTGCTCGCCTACACTTGGGGGAGTTGGATTTCACTTGTGTTTCTTATTAGCATGGAAATCCAGGGTAGATGTAAAACAAAAGCCATTTAAGAGTCCACAATTTATGTAAATAAAACATTGGAATTTTTAAGATGCCTTCACGTCTCTTGTTAAGATGCATAATGTCTTTATCAAGTACATCCTAGTAGAGTTTGGTCCTTCACACATTTGTTCACATAGACATCACCTTGATTGCCTACACCAAGTTTCAACAATTCCTGATGTTGCTTGTTCCCTCAATCACAATGCATAACCTAGAAACTCCAAGTTCACTCTAGCAGACCCTGGTCTCAAATATACAGATTGCACTAACTGCCAGTCAGATGGCAGTAATTCATTCCCAACACTTCTGGTCACTGTGACCAACAAAGACCGTCAGGCTTTTTGTGTGCCATCTCCCTCAGAGTTTTGCTGCCTGTGTTAGAAAATAAACACAACCAACCCCCTCACCCCTACTGTTTCTATCTACTCAACCCCCCTACTCTCTCACTAATAGGAAGGGAATATACTGTACTTAATTTCTGCTACACTGTAGTTAGTTATCTCATCTTGTTCCCTTCTCTACAGCTAATGTGATCCAGATGTCCAACTACCTACCACCTACCTGGACCACAGCGATACAGATCTCCACCTCAACTGAAAAGGTAGAGGACCAGGAAGCCACAGACAGTTCTAGGCAACTAAAACCAGAGGAACTGCAGGGGAGCGTTTTATCTTTCTTTAAAAATAAATCTGACTCTACAGGTTGTTTCTTAGTGTCAGACGCATTAAAAACAGAAACTTAGGGGACACAGGAACACATAAAACACAGGATGGTAACAAACACTGACAAACAGAAAAGCAGTACATGACAATGTGAACAGTTTAGGAATATTTAAGAGATAAAAATCCCGTAATAAGACTTGCATGTATCAACAGTAATGCACACCAGTAGTAAATGTGAAAATGTGACTCCATGAATCCCCAAATAATAAAAACAAAATTAAACTACATCCTGACCTGGTCTACCTATTGGGTTTGATAAATACATCTATATCCAGTCATCCCCCAGGCACTGTGTCAACTGGTGGGGGGTGGAGGAGGCGGTGGCAGGGTGGTATGTACAATGATAAACAAGGAATGCTAGGGATCTTTCAGAACTGAAAAGACACCTAATCCTAAGCATTTCCCATACTCACTCCTATGACTCTTACACTGCTGATTTAATTCAGGGACCTCACCTCCCTATAGGGACTGTTTTTCAAATTGATACAGCACACTTAAAACCAGACCCATCAAGACTGCAAATTTGGGAGTAAGAGTCTCCTTTAAAATCCATCAGGATTTGGCATAAAGACTTGTCTTTTTCTCTCTCAGCATGGATTCTTCCTCTCTGCCTTATACTTAATACTTTTACTTAAACTTTATGGGTTCAGTACTCATATAGGTGATACTCACTTAAAACAAATATTTTAGTAATAAAGTCTTTATATTTGAATTCCCCCTCTCCATGAAAATATAAGCTCCACAGAGACAAAGATTTTTGTCTGATTAATTTACTGCTATATATCCAACCTGAAACAATGCTGATGTAGAAATTTGTGATTCAGATTATAAATAGAACAGTGACCCACTCTCAACCTAGGCATTCTCCTAATGAGCCTTTTCTTATTTTTCTTCACGGCACTATCTAGAATACTATTACTTTACATCTTATGTGTACCCTAGAAAGTAAGTTCCACGAAGTGAGTTTATTCACTGCTCTAGCTTCAGCATCAAAGCTACAACTCAGTAAATATTTGCTCAATCAGTGAAGGTGTAATGTTTGTCATCCCTGCCCCCATATAAACATCAGGAGGGCAGGGACTCTTACTAGGCATATCCCTAGAATCTAGAAGAGGTAAAGAAATATTCTACCTCTTGTTTCTGGTTCTCATTCCAAATATTTTAAGTAAACCACATCAACACAGCAACATAAAAGTGCCAGAAAGGGAGAACCTACAGAGTAGGTAGTTGACACCAAACAGAATCCTTTCCTAAGTTAAGATGTCTATATCTTTTACCCTGTAGCTATAAAATACACACACACACCCTCCCCTACATATATATATATTTAAGGGCTTTCCTTTATCTACGTGACCTCAGGGTTCCCACTCCCACTTCATCCACGTTTTACTTTCATTCTAGAACTCTCACCATCATGATTCTCAGGAATATATAAGTACTGCTGCTGCTCAAATTATTCCTCTTAGTAGAGTACGCTTGCTCCTAACTCCATGTGAAAATCTCTCCCACCTCTAATGTCACCTTACAAGTGAAGCCCTCTCTTTCAATCAACAAGAACTTAGGAATTATTACATGTCAGACACTGGCAACTATAGTGTGATGCCATTTCAAGAAAAAGGAATAAAATGTGTAGGAAAAATATGAAGGAATAAACATCAAATATATGCTGATAAAATTTTAATTATACAGAGTACATATTTAAATGTATTTAAAAATGTATTTAACATGCTCTACTTAATAAGGGTAAGAAAGTAGGCTTTTTAAAAAAGAAAAGCCTTTCAAATAACAGCCAAAATCAGGTTAATTAGAACACCTGGAATGTTGGTTGGGGTTTTATGGCAAACTAGTGCATCTTAGGGTTTCCCAGGAGGCTCAGTGGTAAAGCACCTGCCTGCCAATGCAAGAGACATGGGTTAGATCCCTGGGTCAGAAAGATCCCCTGGAGAAGGAAATAGTAACCCACTCCCATATTCTTGCCTAGAAAATCCCATGCACAGAGGAGCCTGGCAGGTTGGAGTCCATGGGTCCCAAGAGTTGGACATGACTTAAGTGACTAAACAACAATGCATCTTAAAATCCATCAACCAATAAGGGAAAAAAAAACACATCTCTTAAAAACCAGGGACATTCCAAGCAATGGGAACAAATGAAGTCTATCTGAAGATAGTATAACATTTGCGACAATAGATCCCTGGCATATACTATGTGGGAAATGCTACGTAATATAAGAAGATTAAACATGAACAGTAAAGAATAAATGAATAACCCCAGGCCCGCCTCCTCCACCCCTGGAACACTCAAGATATACTGACAGAGCACACACACCGAAACCGCACTCACCTTAAGAGGCTGGGGGCCTCTCAGTCCTGTCTGTCCTCCCATTTGGGGAGAGCCTTGCTGCAGTGGCTCAGTCATTAAGTTGCCAGCATTTCCCATGCCTGGGTTTGGGTACTGCATATTAGGTCGCCCCCGGCCTGCTCCAATTGAACCGTTCATGACTTGATTAGGCATCATCCCTTGTCCATTGCCGGCAGTCAACATTCCAGGATTCATGCCAGCATTCATCCCTGTGTTCATTCCCATGGCAGGCTGACTGACGGGACTGCTCATCATACCTGTTGCAGACGGTGTGGGACCCTGATTTGGTCCACTAGTGCCCATCCCCATGTTGGGAGAAGTCAAGCCTGCCTGGGCCATTGGGCTTTTGACCATGCTATTTATCAAACCTAATCCAGGACTGTTCTGTTGGGCTTGGCTGGCCATGCCTTGGCCTGGGCCACCAACCCCCATATTGAGGTTAGGGGAACTACCAGACCGTAGCAATTCTGACAGTTGTTTATGTTTAGAGGCTGCATCTTGTACTATGCCAAGACTTGTCTGAAGCTGACTAATATCACCACCATTGGTTAGTCCCAATTCTGTAGAGTTGATTAATTCATCTGGTAAGTCGTGCTCCAAGTCAAATAGAGAGCCGAAATCTAAAAACAAAGAGGAAAGATAAAGGTTAAAGTATGATAGCCAAAATTACAAATTTCTCTATACTTGTTCTTGATAAGCATTAACTATCATTTCTAAACCTCACTCCATGGAATACTATCTATTTGTATTAGTTTTTCATGTTATACTAAAGTTTTATTTTACATGTTTGTGTGTGTGTACACATATAAAATATATATAAGAGTACTATCACGCCAACAAGTTTATTTAACAGGTTTAAACATTTATAAACTGTACCTAAAATAAAACCAAAGAAGAATACATCTTAGTGTGATACGCATTACGAGTCACTGAAAGTTTGTATTGACAGTCATGAAAAAGATATACAATTAAAATTGTTTACTATTCCAGAATTTCTTAAAAGGGGTTAAAATGTTCCTCAAAAAAACAAAAAAAAAAAAAGGGGGGGGGGTTAAAATAACTAATCTATACACGGACTAAATCCAGAATCTATACAAAAACTAATTCAGAATGAAACAAAAGATTAAAAATATAATAATTATAAAAAAAGACAACTGATATATATTAAAAAAAAAAAAAGATAGCACTGCTCTTTGTAGACCACTCAGTGTAAGCTCCAGGAAGACAGGGGCTGCTTACCTCTAACTGCTGTCACACAGCGCCTACCACAAAGCTGAATGAAGTTGTGTTCACCTGACTTCAAACCACAGATTAGTTTTCCTTAACCAAAATCTAGCTGAGTAAGATATGAAACCATGCGTCTAGTTCCTTCACCAACCTACAAACCATTACCACTCCATCTCTGCCCTACCCCAGTGCCAAAAAGAAGATGCGAAAATTATAGATTAACTTAGGGTCCCTTGTCCTCGGCACCACTAAACATTCTAGGCTAGATAATTCTGCTTGTGAGGAAGGAAAAATTGTCCTGTGCACCATATTCAGCAAATCCCTGGTCTCTCCTGTTAATGCTAGTAGTACCTCTAACCCATTTGTGACAATCAAAAATATCTCCAGATATCACCAAATGTGCCTTGGAAGTGCAAAACTGTCCCTGGTTGTTGACAGTATTAATTCATTATATGCTGATGGTGGAATGTTTCCTTGTGTACTCCACGGGGACAGCTGAATGAAAGCTGCTCAAAAGTATATATGATTGCAGTGTTATGTAAATAAAGGACTGAGGTGTTCTGTGTTTTAATTCTCCAAGTATTTTTAACATTAAAAGGGCACTGCTAAAAAAAAAAAAAAAAAGGGCACTGCTGAACTTACTTGGTGGCCCAGTGATTAAGAATCTGCCTGCCAGTGCAGGGGACACGGGTTCCATCCCCGACTGGGCATGGGGGCATCTAAACCTATGAGCTGCAACTACTGAGCCCAAATGCCACAGCTAGTGATCCCAGTGCCCTAGAGCCTGTGCTCAGCAACGAGAGGCCGCTGCAATGAGAAGCACCAGCACCACAACTAGAGAAAGACTGCACGCAGGAAAGAAAAACCAGTGCAGCCAAAAATAATTTCAAACAAAAAAGGCCCTACTGGGTATTTAAAAAGTAAATATAGTTGAATCTACAACTGATAATCCTATTAAAGATAATTCATCCAAAGACAAGATACCACTTTAATAATGATCTTCTTGGTCTAATTACCCTCAGGTTCATAAGTATAATTCTTCCTCTATGTGAACTTCCTGTTCTTTTTCACTCTGTCATGGCACTGAAATTACATGCACGTCTCTTTCTCTTCCTCCTCTCCTGCCATCTTTTCCCCACCACCACCCCTCACCCCACCTATGAACCCAGACTGTAGCTCTGGGAATCACATGTGTTACTTACTTACATACCAACTCCTTAAAGGGTGATATTTTAGTTGAACTGAATTGTACCTCAGGATCTCAGGACGTGATTTAGAGTACAGAATTTTTCTTTCCTTCTGAAAAATCATGTGCCCCTCCATCATAAAAATAAACTATCTCATGAATAGTTTTGGAATATAAATAAGGTTTCAAATAAAATTTACCTGACATCACTCCTCAAGACAACTGCTTAATACAATTATATATTTCCTTCATTTCTATTTACATAATTCACAATACTGGAATCATACAAACTTTTAAGCAACTTTGCATTCTACTGTCCCCCTGGAGTACACAAGGAAACATTCCACCATCAGCATATTTTTAGTGTTTAGGAAAAAATAATCTCTACCTATTTAGAAATTTAAAATATACACATGGAGAATTCCCTGGCAGTCCAGTGGTTAGGACTCCAGGTTTTCACTGCCTGGGTTCAATCCCTGGTTGGGGAAATAAGGCCCCACAAGCCTTGTGACAAGGCCAAAAACATAAAAAGTAAAAAACACACACATACATAAGCGACAAATTAAAGGACAAACCACAAGAAACTGAGTTAACAATAAGAATACATTTCAAAACTTTAAAGCTAGAAACCAACAAATATCCAAGGTATTTGAAAAAAAAAAAGTAAGAAAAATAGTAAGAAAAAGATGATCAAATACAAAAGCAATGCAACAACAACAACAAAAATGGAGAGATTATTAACAAAACCAGAAGTTGGTTCTTTGAAGAGAGTAATAAAAGATAAACTTCTGGGAAAGTTAAGGGGAAAAGACAATAAGAGAAAGTGGCATTATTAATCAATTTTATACCAAAAAAACTGGAGACAAAATTAATAAATTCCTGTTAAGCACTCAATAAACCTCAATCAAAAACTAATTATATGTATCCCTGCATCTCCAACAAGTCAATGGTAGAAGTTATCAAGAGATTCAACAATACATCGTTTGAATACCTGATTCAACTCAACTGTGGAAATACATTTTGATAATCAAGATAATACAAATACTGATTAATGGATAATATTGAGAAAATCATTAATTTTGTTGGGTACGACAACAGAAGTTATTAAAATAAATCCTAAGAGATACATATTTAAGCATTTCTAGTGAAACAAGAAGTCTGGGGTGTATTTTTTAAAACTCCAGCAGAAAAAACAGAGTGGGGGAGGGGACAAAATTATTAGTAACCTGAAGTAACAGACACATGGGAATTCTTTTTTCTATTAAATTGAATTCTTCCATTTAAAAAGTTTAAAAGGAAACATAGAAAGCCTGAATATTCCTATTACTATCAAAGAACCACTACTTAATTTTTCCATAAAGACCAAACATAAATTTTTGCAGGCATGTCCCACTGAACTTTCAAGGAAAAGACAATTCAATCTCACACAAATACTTCTAGAAAACAGAAATACTCTAAAAGCCACACATGGCCAGTAAAAGAAAAGAAAGTCACGAACACAGGAGCAATTATCCTTAAAAAAAAAGCAAACCAAACTCATCAATGTCTTATAGGTGTAATATCATGATCAAGTTGGGATCATCTCAGGAATCCAGGAAAGAGGTTTGCATATTCACCAGAGTAACAGAGAAGAAATAAAACATTAGGTTCAATGACTGTAATAAAAGCACTGGATAAAAGTCAACACCCAATCACAATTTTAAAAACAAAACTAAAGCAATCAAAACCTGATGAGAAAAAGAACAGACATACATATAGCTGAATCATTTTGCTGTACACCGGAAACTAACAGAACAGTATAAACCAACTATGCTCTTGTCTGTAGTTGTGTCTGACTATTTTTGTGACCCCATGGACTGTAGCCTGCCAGACTCCTCTGTGGGAATTTTCCAAGCAAGAATACTGGAGTGGGTTGCCATTTCCTTCTCTAGTGTATCTTCCCCATCCAGGGATTGAACCCACATCCCACGCGTTGGCAGGTGACTCTTTACCACTGAGTCACCAGGGAAGCCTGTGTAAATCAATAACACCCCCATTTAAAATAAAAAATTAAAAAAAAGACACACACACACAACTGATAAGAACTTCCTTAAATTGATAAAACGGGCTCTTCCAAAACCTAAAAACTGACAGCAATTATGGATAATGCACCAACATTAAAAATAGCCTCTTTAGCATCAGAACAAGACAAAGATACCCCAAACCACCACTTCTATTTAGTGCTGAACTGGAGTCTCTAGTCAAAGCAATAATACGAGAAATATTCACGAGTCAAGACTGAAAAGGAAGAAACATAACCTACTGTATGCAAACAATACACCTGTCAACAGTGAAACTCCAAAGCAAAGAAGTAGAAATAGTAAGAGATTAGGAAATTAAATTGCATTTCTGCCTATCAGTAAAAAATGATTAGAAATAATTTAAGAAATGGGGGGGGGGAAATCTGACAATAGTAGAAGATATATGTTAACTATGAAGCTAAAGACCACCTAAATAAACAGAGTAACATCACAAAACATATGGGTACAAATCCTCAATATTATATAAAGACATCAATTCTTCCCCAATATTGACCTATAGATTCAATGCAATGCCAATCAAAATTCTAACAGGGGACTTCCCTTATAATAACGAAAACAAATTTTTATAAGGCACTTCCAATGTGTCATATTGTTTGCGGTTCCTCAATAAATACATTATTCTCATTAATCCTCCAAGAATCTCAGTAGTAGTTAAAAGCCACATATAGAGAGTTTATTGAGGAGAAATCAACTTCAGTAATACAGAAGCCTTACTCTAGGCCCTGTCTTGAGGATTTAATTTAACCTGTACTACAGTCAAATCTGCTGCACTTGGTTACTGTTGCAAAATATTCAACATCTCATTACAAAATTAGGCTCCACTGTGAAGCAGACAGGAAAGTTAACATTGGTAGACCTTGAGAATGGTTATAGGATTGTTCTTTTAATGGCAATCCTCTATTTTCAATAGACCTAATTCAGTGATCACTACAAAAGATCCACTCAGGTTTCAACTCAGTCCGATTCAAGTACTCCTATTTTCTAAGATGGTTCACTGTTACAACCTCAACTATGTACTTCCTATCTTCTACCTTTTGTTATAGCTAAATATTTGTGTGCATCTTCTTTACCAAATTTTTGAGTATTGAAAGATAAGGGTCTCATTTAACATTTACATTTCCCATAG